ACGCTGAATCCTGATGTTGTTGCAGTTGAAGGCAATGTGCACAGTACTGATACGTCTGTAGCGGAGCAAGCTGGCACGGATGCGGACATAGTGTTGTTGTCGAAGGTATGGCCAAGTGTTGCATGGGCGGCGAGCGAAAGATGGGCAGTGAGACCGGGCCAGTGGCTGGAAATTCTGTCTGAGGCTCTGAGCTCGCCAGGAGGAAGCTGCATCCACGAAGCCACAAACCCGCCCTCAAACCTTCCAACTGCCCACCGGAACTGCAATGCGCCGCAGCCACCACGCCACCCACACCCACTCTCGCTCCTTGGACCTCAAGGCCGTCGAATCCTGGGCTCTAAAGCTCAATGCGTCGCTGTCGGATAACTCACTGCTGGATGTACGTGAGGGCATGAATCTCACAACTCCTGCTGGCATCGAATAGCGTTCTCAACATTCCTGCGTCCGAAACCACGCCCAAGTTGGAGTTTGAGGCTGAGCCAGCCGCGAGCCAGCCGCCGGCCCGCCGCTCATCCAGTCAGGACCTCGGTGCTCCTTCCCTTCCTGTCGACGTACTACAACCTGGACATGCAGGAGGGTCCAGCCCGAGTCAAACGAGGTCCTCAGAGCCGCGACGTTGGTGCACAGGCTGCTGGAGTTTGGAGATGCTTGTGGTACTGGAGGTTCTGGTGGTTCTGATGATACAGATGGAAAACGGAGGTGGCGATCCTACTGCAGGCGGAGGCGCTGGGAGGTTTGGTGGTGCTGCCGCTGCTGGAGGTGCTGGAGCCGCTGCCCGATGGTAGTGCTGAGGATGTTAGATGCTTGTGGGCATAGCGGCAGTGATTCTTCTGCAACTGCCAGAGCTGGAGCAAACGAAGAAGAGCAGAAGAAGACCTGAGGGAGAGGCTGAGCTGGCCGCTCCAACAATGTACAAGCACAATGCGCGTCCAAGGCATTGAGAAACAAGAAAGATCGAAGAAGAAAGATGCGTCTTCCTCGAAGTCCCAGGCAAGCTGAGAGCATCAATGAAAAAGCAAAGTCGCGTCAGCCCGGAGAAGTGTAATACAAGCGACACCGTGGCCAGCGAGTCTGAGAGAAAATCCCGAAGCCGCCAGCGCAGGTTCCAAAAACTGTTAATCACGAATGTACCTCCGTAGAGGGACGCCAGCGATTAAACTGGACAGAGAACAGATACTGCATTTAGATCTAAGCCAAAAGGCAAAGAGAACTGAAGAAAAAAGGTGGAAGGGGGGTGGGGGAGGGCGTTTATATAGGCAGAGGGATGGGCCCGTGCGTGCGCGATGAGGTCACTGTGGAAGGCTGTGGAAGGCCCTGGGCGCGTTCGAGGGGCTGCTGGACGCTTCTACGAGCTTCTACGCTTGTGCAGGTAGCTGGGGAGGCACTGCCGGTGACGTAAGGGGTGGGTTTGGCGCCGACGCCGCCCGGTTTCGCCGCCCGCCCCAGGCGTCACTGGAGACCATTTTCAAAGCGAGAAGCCAGGACGAACAGCCCCAAGCTGCAACAAGCGCCTAGAGCTTCAGTTGTTAAGTGAAAACAACTGCTAGGACGTATAAGTCCCAGTCTTGAACGGATTGCCAGTACAGCTGACGCCGTCAGCGCCTGAAGTCGCATCACTGAAGCACCATAGCTCAGCCTCCCACCACACAGAATTCTCCCACCCGCTATGAGACCCCAGCACACCACTTAGCATTACCGGCCCCTTCTTCGACATATTTCATGCGGCCGAGCAATGACCATATAACGTCCCGTTCCAACGGCCACTGAGCTAGACCAACACCTCAGCCCCCAGAACCATCCTTTGCAGCGGATGCAAGCAGCCGACAAAGCAAACCAGTATTCGTCGACCGCAAGTCTTAAGGAAACGATTTTCAACTTGCTACAATCCATTTGGATAATATTACCAATGGCGCGAACAGCTTTGGAAGCACACGCGAGGGCAGCTAGAGCCGGCCTAAAACCCTGCGAACATATCGTGCACGGAGAGGGTGCAACGACGGCATGAGAATGGCGTGGGGATGCTGGGATTAATCTGTAACTATAGAGGCATAGACGGGAAGACTGGATTTAGGAGCCTTGAATCATTTCCACTTTTCCCCCAGGACACTAGACCTGTATGCTGACAGCGACGAAGACAAGACCTTCAAACCCCACCTGCGAGACCCTCAAATCCCTCAACTCTCATGCCATTGATAATAACATTCTCTAACAAACTTCGACACCTGTATCCAGCCTCGAAAACACCTCCCAGAACCTACCCAACACACCTTCCGATCCTACCTCACGGGGCGCGACCGACTCAGCTGACGAAGCCGACACTACTGCTGCCTGCAAACCTCCACGAAGACAACAGGTCAAACCTCAGGAGCCGCGCCGGCGCGCTTGGGTGACCCGCCTTAAGGCCTGAGCATACTGGCTTTCACTGCGGGGCTTAGTCGCAGTAGACGACAGCCGCGGCGAGTCCGTAAGTTTTAGGCTTCGACTATAAGAGCGTGCGGATGAGATCATAAGGGCATATGCTGTTGTGGACGGGTGTTGATTCCTGTACTAGTCCACTGCATTCGGAGGCGGTGCTGTTGTGGACGGGTGTTGATTCCTGTACTAGTCCACTGCATTCGGAGGCGGGAGTCAGTGGACATGGGAAAGTGATGGCGTGGTGCGGACCGTCAAAGATCGAGGCTAGATTACAAAAAGATGGGTAGAAGAGATTGTCTAGGTGTGCAGTTCATATACAAGACATGTGTAGCACTGGCATGCAGGATGGTGGGCACGAAGATGGAAAGCAGGAAGCGGACGCGGATGCCAAAGCCAACGGTTCGACACGAGCGTGTAGGCGATTGTTGCCTAAGGACACCGTTGATCCAAGGCTCCATGGCTCTACAGCAGAACCTACTTTGTCCAAGCTCTTTGAATGTTAGGGAACAATACATTATGTGATAGAGCAGAGGAGAGGAGTCCTATCAAGCGAATCATGACTGAGGCGCGTCTCATCTTCCATTTTCAGAATATTGAACATTTTTAGAGACCTCAGATACCACGGTTTAGTCTCAGTAGGTTCGTCTGTCGCGTTGCGATGGCACTGTGCAAGACTTTATCAGTAACATAGCTTGTGCCGTGGAGGCATCCGGAAAACTCACTTCACTGAAACTTGCCCGAGCGGGCACCCCAACCAAGCCAACCATACTTGTTCTGCTCAGCTCTTTCGTGGATCTGAAATTCCCAAGTCTCTCTTTCAGGATACACGCTCCCTTCCGCGCAGGCTTCCCAGCCAGCCCACTACGAAGCGCAGCGTAGCTTCTCGGGTGAAGGTGGACCTAAGCATAACCCCAATACTATGTATCTGACCGGCGTCAGTTTTCACGTCCAGAATCTGCCCTCATCTTGTTTATAGGACATGTCCTACGTATTTGCGACGGAAAAAAGCTAGATTAAAAGTCGATATACACGGCTCGGAGCAAGCAAATAGTATCCCGTCATCTCTAGCCGAGTTACTCTGTCTAGGACAGGCTATCGTAGGAACTAGGCTGGCAGAATGGCGCAGTGTAGGGTATAAAGGGCCGCGAGAAGGGATCGTAAAGAGGAAGACACGAAAGAAGTTGACCTGTCCGAGTTTCAGCAGCTGCGGGAGCCGCGCACTGACGCTATATAATGCTGCAAAAACTCGCTGTCAGCTTCTACTGCTTGAAAAATATAGGAGCGACAATCTGAACGCCTACTTTTCTCTTCGCGTCCCTCGAGCCACCGACAATAAAATCCTTCGAGGGGATAGGTGCCGCCGTTTGTTGTTGAGAAAAAGACACCAGAGCGACCGCCGACGCCCATCATTGCGCGAGGAGAGATCTGTAAAATGCTGATCCCGTCCATGTCTTAGAGGATTGCAAAAACATGTTGTGCAGCCTTCAAATGCGCTAGAGGATAATAAGATGGAGCGAACCAGGAAGATGAGAGGAGCCGTCGTCGGCGGAAGCTCTTTTCCGTCGGTCTTAGAGAGAGTTCTACCGCTTTCTAGAGGAATTGCTGCCAGGAATTCCAGCGTTAGTGAGAGGTCTCTGGGTACAACCTTGGAAGGGAGACATACGAAGAGGTGGGCGCGGACGCGTATACATGTGCGCGTACGGCGGACAGTACTAGCGAGATCGGGCGACGGGGAGGCGCGGCATCCGGCGCGGACGGCAACCAGCGCGGTCGGATAGGGCGCTGTGAGCTGTTGGAGATGGCTCTGTGCAATTGACTGACGGAGAGTTTCGTGAAGGTGTGCTTGCCATGGAGGTTCTGGGCGCGGTGATGCTTCTAGTGCTTGTCTTGGATTTGCCCGGGCGCGTCAGTGGTCACTGGGCCCTGGATGCTGTTACGGGCGGCAGACCATCACGAACAGGCACAACGCCGCCCCAGCAACGCCTTTAGGGGAGATCTAGCTGAGGTACCTTAGCAGTATGCACGCGTAAATGCCAACTGAGTGAGTTTTTCCCGCAGAAATTGGCGTCGTGGCCCACAGCCTCTCTCGCGCCTCCGACAGCGCACAAAGCCCGGCCAACCCAACCCACAGCCAGAGCCCTTACCTCAACCCCAGCGCCCAGCAGCACACCACACCAGCGCGCGCCAGCCGCAAAAACAGCCCAAAGAATTTTCTTCCTCAAGAATGCAGACAAGCCGCATAACTCAATGAAAAAAAGAGTGGAGTGTTCGCGTCAGTCCGAGGCAGTGCAATACGAGCGACACAGTTGATGACGACATGCGCAAGCGCAGCGGCTGAGATCAGGATTCCAAAAAGAAGAGCGAAAGCTCAGGGAACGCCCGTAGACGCCTACCAGAGAGTCACCAATGGTATAAAGATGTAGACTAGCATAACACCTAGATGATGAGCGAGACCAGATATGAAAACGCATGCCATTCTACACATCTAGCTCAAGTAGGGATGCTACTACTGCTTCATTGAACACGAGGACCGATTCGGGAGTCTAATGTACAATAGCAACTTAGCAAGCTGACGTTGTCCTTGCTTAAACCCCGCCCAGCTCTAGCACCGCCTCAGTAGCAGCATGCACGTTGTTGATGCTGTCTTGGAACTGGGCGACCGCGACGGCGCGCATCTGAGCGACCTGGCGCTCGGCTTCTGCTTGCGGGGCCGCGTAGGCGTGGTGCGTATGGTAGTCGCCGAGTCGGGCATGCGCGCGTCGACGGCAGGGGTGTAACCCGGGGGATAGTGGTGCGGAGGGCTCCGGAAGAGGTGGTGTTGTTGGCGACTGCGGCCGCGGCGGCATTCTTCTTCTCTGCGGCCTTAGAATCAGCATTGTTGATGTTGAGGATGCTTGCAAGCTGCTGCTTATTTTGCCCAAGAAGCACATACTTACCGTTGTACGGAGAGATCAATGTCATCCTGTCTAGAGTAGAAACTCCAGTCCATGTTCGGTAGCTTCCAGTTGTACTGCGTCCCTGGCCCTCTTGGCCCTCGCCATGTCGCGAGCAGTCCTCTTCAGGCCGTGGCGGTTGATGAAGCACTCCACGCCGTGAGGATTGCGCAAAGTGTGGAAGTTGCGGTTGACAAGATCGACGAGCTGTCCAATGTTGAACCTGGTCCTGTCGATCATATGAGCCGCAACCGTGTCCAGCATCTTCGCCATCTCATTGATTTGGAACATTTTCTCTAAGATAATCTCCGATACAGTGGACCTAAGTCCAAGTCGAGCAAGGCAGCGCGTTCGGGCCAGACTCCTGCGTCTCAGTGACTGCGAAAGCATTGTCGAAGAAGCTCCTGGTCTCCTCCATGTCGGCATCTTCATCATCGGCAGTGGCAGTATGACACATGCCATCTTCAGCATCAGCGATGGACTCCTCGGCATTCTCAGCAGCGGCATTGTCATTGTTGGCAGTAGCCTCCTGGCCGCCGAGGTTGCTGAGGCTCGGGTCAATGACCGAGTCAGTGAGGCTGGGTCGATGTTCGAGCCGTCGACGCGCAAGCGCAAGCCCGTGTTAAAGCTCTGGAAATTCTCGATAGTAGGAGTGCTAGAAGCGCTGGCGGCGGTGCTCAAGAATCCCTGCATATCGTTGCTAGTCAAGGAAAGATTCACATGGGGGCTCAGCAGGTCGTGGTTGAAGCCGAAGTTGTTGGCAGGGCTGAACACCTGCTGGTTGTCGTTGGCATTGTACTGGGCAGCGTTCGAGTCGTCGACGCCGGAGCCCAAACCAGTGTTGGAGCTCTGGACAACCACAGGAGAAGCTGCGCTCCCACCGTTGACGGTGGTGATCTGGAAGTTCTGAACAGTAGGAGTGCTGGCAGCGCTGGCGGCGGTGCCGAGGAAGTGGTCAGTTGAAGAGGCAGCAAATACCTGATTTGAACGTATGCGAACCCGAGACTGGAGAGACTGGTCGGTTGTTAGCTGAGCTCAAAGCCACAGGTATGGGAGAAGACTGTCGGAACGGAAAGACTGACTTTGACGATTGTGCTGTTGATAGGGAGAGGGTGCGCCGGTGGTCTGGTGGTTGTGAAACTGTTGTGGGGGTTGAGATGCGACCGAGAGATGACGGGAGTTGATTTCACCTGCGCCGGCGCCGGGCCGCCACCGCTAGGTACTTGCAGATCCCGGCAATCGCTGACTGACGCAAAGGTCTATGCTGCACGTGATACACACACGCAGCAAAGAAAGTATCAAGTTCGCAGCCAAATATCCTACTTCGAAATGCTATTGCCAAGCAACTGCTTCAAGGCCGATCAACTGCATAGAAAGAGCCCTTTCGCGAACCCATGGCACTATTACTACATTTACAGACCTACACAACACACCCAGGCTCACTACATCATCGAGGAATTCATGCATGTCTCACTATCCACCTAGCTAGCTGACGCTCTTCAGACACCTGAGCGGGCCAAGCCACCATTACAATACCGTAGACATCCAACCCATACCACCACAAGAGCCTCAACGTTCCTTTGTAGCCAGCACCGGCACGGCGGTCGGAAACATGTTCTGTTTGGCTGGAAGATGTGCGAAGGGGCCACCATCTTTGGAGTCGGGCGAAACTTCATCAGTGTAGGGGTTTTGGAGATCGAGCGTAGCCGGAAGAAACCTGTACAGTCCATTAGAATTAAGCAATAACTTTCGCAATGACAAGATGAGCAAGGTCAGTGTAAGGTCAGAAGTAAGTTCTCAGCACAAATGCCCAGGACAAGAATGATCCAGGCCCTAGGTGCATCTGTACCCTTTGTACAATGAAACATCATGTCAAAAAACAGGGGATCGGGCAGGGGAATGTTGCACCATACCTGAACGACCGGGGAGCTTAGTCCTCAACCTACTAATCGTCCTGCGGAGCTACTTGCGGGCCGGCGCATGGTGATTGCCGCTTGGAGACTTGGAGCAGCGGTGTCCGGGAAAGATGAAATTTGGGATGATTGTTCGTTTGGCGTGGATATGTCGGCTTCTTAGTATGGACGAAAGGGTTGAATGGGGAGAGAAACGTCGAGGCGAGATGTGTGGGAGCGACAGACGCTACCGAGACAGAAGGCAGCAGGAACAACCTGAAGAAAGAGCAGCCCACACCTAGCGATTAGCTCGACTTCTTGCCCAAAGACCTACCTCTCTCCTACCGATGCGAGAGAATCACTAGTTCCATGACTCTTGGGTCTTCGCATCTATTCCGGCTCTTTCGCTGCTTCTCATTGTTTCCTCATTCCCTTATTTGCTAGTGTTTTCAATTGGAAGTTTCGCACTCTAGGCCCCGTCACTTCGCGCCATCCGGGCCCAACCCGGGCCATCAGGCAGCATTGGAAGCTTCCGCTTGCCCCAGCGACCATAGACCCGGTATGCCAGTAGCGAATATCATGCAAAAATGTTGTTAACCATGACGAGGACCAACCACTATCCCAATCCATGAGAGCCTGGAATCTTGAGCCACTACCGGATATACTTGCGGCTGTCCAAACCAGATGGTTCTGAAGTTGCTGCTGGGAATCAGTGGAAGATGTTGCCTTGAATTCGTGGATTGGCGGCTGCTCGCAGAGGGACGACAGGTCTATCTACAACTTCGATTACAATGGTGCCGAAGGGTTTGATCGCGATATGGGTTTAGGCGCAAGCGTAGTATTTCACGGAGGAAAGAGTTAGGCGAAATTAACCTGGCGGTCATAGGTGGCAAACGGAGCTCGGCAGATTTGCGGGAGCAGCGTCGAGTTCTTTAACAGGGAATATTGTATGTACAAAATGCAAAGAACGTTTGAAGGTCTCAAAGTATTACCACTTCTCTGACCTTGCCGAACTAAGCTCTTACTAATATGTTTCTACCAGTTCGCAAGTTGTAACTCCGTCCCCTCCAAAATCACCAACAATCCACTACAGAAGATAATATAATGTCACTCCAAGTCACCGCCACTCCGCCGACTGCGGTAGAGATGGAGCTACATTTGTGGACCTGCTTAACGGCCCTCAAGGCGGTTGAGGAGGATGAAACCGAAGCCCTAAAGGTTTTAAAATTCCCTTACGTTGAATTTCCCATCGGAAAAGACCAGAGGGTCAAAGACTACTTCCTGTTTGAACTCTCGGGCATTCAGTTACGCTACGAAACGTCCCCTGCAGCACAGCTTGTGTTGTAAGTAGAACAGTCCCCTTAAAAAACACTGAAGGCACTGACACACTGACACACTGACACACTACCAGCTGCGACTGGGATCCCATTGAAAATTCGATTATGCTCCGAGTTCCCAGCATGATCCAGAGGGTCTTTGCGGACTCGATCTGCCAGTTCTTCACCCGCCGTCTACAAGACGTCCAGAGAGCCTACCCGGACCAAACCTTCCTTCACAACATCACCTCTGTACGCAACCACGCCTACGTCCCCTGCGGAACCGCCTTGTATGACTCGACTACCCTCTTCCCAGACATCGCCTGGTACCACGACCATAAGAACACCAGCACCCCATCTCTAGTCATGGAGATTAGCGACGAGAGGAAGTCGTCTCTCATGTGGGACTTAGCAGACTTGTACATCGAACTCGGCGGAGTTTGTTTTGGCGTTGAGTTCATCATCAACGCCACCACAGCGCGGCGCTTGGCAGAAGTGCGCGCGTGGGAAATTGTAGAACAAGCAGACGGTTCGCGGTCCATGGACCTGGCCTGGCAGGTCACGTTTCGTGAAGATGATGGCACCGTTCCAGAGAGGACCATCACGCTTTGTGCTGACAACCTTGTCAGCGCCAACCCTCCGAATGCCGTGCTCACGGGGGAAGGGCATGCAGCGGCTATGATGCCGATGGATATTTCGAGCACTTTCCTGGCCGCCGCGTTGCACCGTGCGGAGGAGTTTGCTGCTGCTCATGGGCACCCGAAGCCTATGTAGTGGTGAGTGGGGGAGTGGTCGGATGTGGACGGTGCTGAGCATGGCATCTGCCTGGGTTCTCTTTGGATAGAGTTGATGCGAGCGTACAGGCCACTAGACAAGTAGGTCCTCGTACTCGTGCAGTATGATTTTGTTTCTCCCTCTGGTTCTACCGGCGTAGTCTTGCAACAACGCCTACGTAGTAATACATGAATGATTTTCCTTCCTTCGCAAAGCACCATAGCAAACAAGGAGAGGCATAACGCTACCCATACAGTGAACCCGCCACGATCATAGTAAAGACACGTCTATGCCCATGCACTGTTGTTTATTCTAGCTCCGTAATATGTACACTGCCTACATTAAGAACAGCGCAGCGCACCTTTACAAGGAGTGGTTTATCCATCTACGAGTTTTCAACGTCGAGCTGATCATGAAGTGCGATATGGCAGTGATATAGCACAGGTTATAGCTTCTAATAAAGCCGTTTATGTACATCCTCTGAGCGTATACGTAGGTATGCAGTTTGTTTACAAAGGGTACGCATAAAGAGATGTATATCACCTGATAAATCAAACCGCATATAAAAAGGCAAACAACAAACACGTACCTAGCAAACAGTTCAAGGGTATATAAAAATCCACTGGCATATCAGGGTTCAGATACCGTAGCGATCGCAGTCACTAAGTTGCGTAGAGTATCTATAAAGTTACACCTCTGTGGAATAGCAACAATACACAGTATACTCTCCCTCCCATAATCCCATAAAACAGCACCACAACTCTACCTTACCTTCTACTCCCACTACCCTACGCACCATCACAACCACTCCAGCAGACGCCAGCTTCATAGGGACGCACAGCCACAACACTATTCTACCGAACGCCAGCTTCATACGTATACACCTCTTCAAATACGCTCTACCACACGCCAGCTTTACAGGAACCCAGCTTCGTATAATGAAGCCTGTCAGTTCCGCCCTAATAACTCTATAACATACGGCTGCCAAACCTCCCAAATATGCGAACCACCTATAACGGCTCGAACGCGGATTTCCTAAGCATGAATCCGGTCGAGCGTTCCAAGCTTCTCTTTGCACCGAGAACCTCGATCAAGGTGATTGCAAGCGGTGCTAAGCGCCAATTCTCCGTCTCAGAGAAAACGGCTTCAGCATTCTCCTTCAGGGGCATCCCGATCACATCCCGCCATACACTTACCGCGCAACACCACCCCTCCCCACCACCACCACGCCCCGGCCCGACCCGCTCCACCGCCCCCGACGCGCAAGAAGCGCTCTACACGTCTTCTTCGACTTCATCCTCTCCTCCTCTCAACCCCCACCAACGACCACACCCGCGACCTCAGCTACACAGCGTGAGCTCCCCCTGCCCTCGCCGCCTTTGAGCCATCAGCCAAATCTCACTGACATCTCCAGCAGACAACGCGCTCTCCCACTCTCTCCCTCCCTCTATGCTCTTAAACACCAACGTCACAACCACCACCAACCACCAACGTACGCCTCTCCCCCTCCCTTCCTCACCTTACACCCCACCCACAACTAACACTCCCCAGCACCACCACCACCAAAGAAACCTACCACCTACAACACCTTACAGCATGGACAATCTAACCGCGATCTTTCTCATGCTGGCTATCTGCCTGCTCATAACCCTCGCCCTCATCATCGTCGGCGAGATGTGCCTCTGCAGAGCGGATCGCCGCGCCCAGAGACAGGGTCAGAACCACGCGCACCGCCACCATCACTCGTGGTTTGGGATGCAGATTAGGCGCCATTTTAGTACTGCTGCTGCTGGTGCCGGTGGGGTGGGTATGGTGTAGGGCGTTGGGTGTGTTGGCTGGGCTGGTTTACGCTGTTTTGGGCGGCTTTCTGGTAGGTTTGGCTGACTCTGTGGTGTGCGGCGGTTCACTGATACCTGTTGCTATAAGCAGGGCTTTTTGGCAGTAGCTGGGGCGCCTTGGGCGCCTTTGACGGCTTCTGCGGCTTTTTAGGACTCTGGGGTTTTGGTTTTGGGGGTTTGCGGGCTGGATTGCATTGTGTTGGCTTGCTTGGGAGGAGAACGACAGTTAACGGCCTTTACGTTCATGCACAGTGGCGCGCAGCGCAGCTAGAGAGCAAATGAAACTATTCCTGCTCCCCAAATGTCTCATTCGTGCCTACAGTGACAACCCCACCTAGCTCACAGGCACCATCAACCTGTCAACATCCGGGCCCCACTCCCCTCCCTCCACCCCTTCAACAAGCACGCTGTTCTCCCCCGCCTTCAAATCTAAATGCACAACACTACTCCCGGGCTCTCCACTCGTCGGCAAAAACGCCACCGTCTGCCCCGCAACACTAGCATGCCGCGACGCCCCATCGCCATTCTTATACTTAATCCTGACCGTCGTGCGCGTGTCCTTCTGGCTAGAAACATTGAACGAGGCTGTTCCGCCCCCACTCCCGCCAATATACCCGGCCGCCTGGCCGCCCGAACACCCCTCGCAGTCGACGGCTTTGGCCCCGCTGCTGAGCTCCGCGTCTTCGCCCTCTGCCTGCGTCTCTTCTGGCCCGGCGGCCCAGGTCCCCCCCGCAGCGTCGACGACCCAGTTGACGTGGTTTTTCATGCTGGCGCTCGTGCCGTCGATCTCTAGGGGCAGCCATACGTACGTGCTTGTTTCGAGCGCGCTCGAGTGCCATCGGTCGCCCATGTAGATGGCACTGGTGCCGAGGGGCAGGATGTACGTCGTTTGCGAGGAGTAGGTGTTTGAGCCTTTGTCGGCGAAGTTGGCCCAGTCGCTCCAGGGGCCCGAGAGGGACGTAGCTGTTGCGTAGACGTTGTCGTTGGGATCCCAGCCTGAGAGGGAGGAGGCGAACAGGAAGTACGTCCCGTCAGTCTTGTAGATGGCGGGCGCTTCGTAGGTGTCGAAGAGGGCAACGTTCTCAGTGACGTTGAGGTAGTCGTCGCTGAGGGCGTCGATGCGGAGGCCGTTCTCGCGCTGGCCAGGGATTAGTCAGTGTCTGCTGTGGTAAGGGAAGAAACATGGAAGGCTTACGTCTTCGGTCAGTAGGTAAGCGGATCCATCATCGTCTTTGAATAACCCAATGTCCCTGCTCTGGAACCCGAGAGGCTGGAAGCTGCCTTGGTACTCATACTCGCCGCAGACAGTATCGCCGGTCGCAACACCAGTCTTTGCTTCGCCATAGCTGGAGTCGTCGATGTGCATCCACAGGACGTACTTCTTCGTGCTGTCGTTGTAGATAACTTTGGGGCGCTCGACGACACGGTCTGGGCCGAGATCGCCACTGTCCTGCTTGGTGAGAAGGGCGCGCTCGTACTTCCATTCGACGAGGTTCGTGGACGAGTAGCAGTTGATGTTCTGAAACGAGCTGCCGCCGCTCTTGTCCTCGCCAATCATGTAGAAAGTGCCGTCGACTTCCAGCACGCCGGCGCCATGGGCCTGAATGTGCTCGCCCGAGTTGCTGGCCGTCCAGGTGGCGCCGGGCACGATCTGCAGTGAAGCAGAAGCCGCTGATGCCAGCGCCGCAGCGCAAAGAGAGATTGAGTGGTGGCGCATTGTGTGGTCAATTGCAAGGGACCAAGAAAGCTGAAAGCCAGGAGAGAACGCGAGTATGGGGCGCTCCGGCTTTTGTAGGTTCCCCGTGGGCCCCGGCGGCGTTTCAGGGCCGCGTCGCAATATCATGCGAGCTGTGGAGTTGGACGTGGGGCGGGCACGACCCTTATCATGCACTCCCCCGCCGGGTGAATCTGCCAGCCGAGGCGGATCGATCGATCGTGACGAGAGCCGCATCCTGCGCGCTCTGTGGTTGATGGAAGAATTGCCCCGCTCGTGTCAGACCCACTCTGCGGCCCGTGGAGCCGCCGCCGTCTTTCGAAAACTTTATTGTGACGTCTGCTCGAGGAGAGACTTGTGTCAAGAGATTGCGTTTTGTTTTTTGTTTCGCTGCATCTTGCCGAATGCCGATCATTCGGTATTTGGACTGCATTCGAGGATCTGCTGTCGATGCTGCTTGAACGGCACGCAGCCGGTAGATCCATTTCATGCCGATCCAACATTGAAACAAAAATAGCACCATAACACAGACATGGATGGAACACTGAATAGCATAATTGATCGGATGTTCTGTTGCTGAGTGTACATTGTGAGGGTGCCACGAATGTCTTGGTTCCTTGTCAGCATGTGCACTTGTCAGAAGGGTTTGGGACGTATATCCGGGTAGCTGTACTGCACTGCATGTCTCCCGAACCTTCTGCTCTAATCGTACACGCTTCTTACGTTTCCTCCTTGACAATGCGCATGCAAGACCATTGTAGCCAGCTACATCCTGCGATGTGTAAGAAGGCGGTATCACTAGTACCGGCGAGGCTTGACGTGGGTTGCGGTACTGCGACGCGCCGGCGTAGTCTGCAGATTGGGGGGCGTTTGAGGGGACGATTGCTGGAATGAGTGGTGGGCCGCGAGGAATAAGGACATGTGTGTGGAGAGGATGTTGGTGGCTGTGGCGAGGCGGCCGTGTGCCTGGAGGTACGTCAGTTGAGGTGGAGTAATAGGCGGGAGAAGATATTTGTACCTGTAGGAAGCAGTTGAACACATGAGAGGACTGTGGCGAGTGAAAACATGGCAGTAATGGCGTGCATTGGTGGCGGAGGGCCGAAGAGCGTGCGGGCGGTGGAGAAAATAGGTGTGGAAAGCAGTCCCAAAAAAAGCTGCGCCCCGAAAGCAGGAGCAGCAGCAGCAGCAGGGCCTTACTAACAAACAGGACAGCGAAGCCTCCTAGCAAGAACGCCGACCGCAACACACCTCTCTGTCTTCTTCTTCCTCCTCCTTGCCTACCCTCTCCACCACCACAGGCAGTGCCACTACCAGAACCAACTCTACCAATTCCCCAACTACGCCTTTTGGCGGCTTGGGCACCGCTGTGCTCCACGACCGACTGTCACCGCCTCACTTTACCAACCACCATATCCGTTATTTACAAGGAGCGCGAGCGACCGCCTTGGCCGGCAGGGCCGATTCAGCCATCCTCCCGGACATGCACAAGGATCTCGATCCTCGATGGCCACGGCCCACGCATCAGGGGGTACGCGCTGGACACTATGCTGTGCTGCTTTTGCAGGTTCTGCTGGTACTGTGGAGGCAGGTTGGACGACAGTGGATGACTGGGTCGCTGGTTAGTAGAGACTAGAGAAAGAGAAAGGCGTGGTGACCAACGGCTGACTATATTGCAGGAAAATATGCCAGACCCATCATCCCCCGCAGCCCTTTCATTCACTTGCCGCACCTGCCCTCGCACCCGCAAATGATCCTGCACCTGCAAACCTGCGCGTGTCATTTACACGCACACTTACACACACACTCGCACCCACACCCGTCCTGGCATGCACCAACTCGCTCGCACACGCACGTAGGCATGTCAGGCGCCACTTCCGTGAGGGAGATAGCCTGGCTCGGGCCCGAGTCCGCCAAGGACACTCCTGGACAAATTAGAAGGAGTAAGTCATCATGCGATCTGGTCAAGCAGAACGTCAAGGCTTGCATAGTCTGATTGTTTTTCGCTAACAACACGTCTTCGGTAGACTTAGTGGGCGTCGAAAACTCTTGGTTCGAGTCGAGGAGCCCCAACCACCACCACCGGCACCACAGCCGCTGATGAGGGCGACGATGACAATAACGGCCATAGAGCGAGTCACGCTCGTTCAACCACTAGCGCTGCCAGCATTAGCAACGGCGACAGTGGCACATCACCAACGGGGCCCATTGTCCACCACTTCTTCCCCCTTTTCCGGGAAGCCAGCCGGGCAACCTCGCCCCGGAACATGGTTGACGGCGGCGACGCCTCGAAGAGGCCGACGACGACGACGGTGACCAGGCGACAATGTCCATCCTGCCAGATTCAGCAGCAAGTTCCAGCTCCGGATCCAAGCTTGCTTAACCAGGTCGAGACTCAAGAGGACAAGGGCCCAAAAGCGCTGATGGCGCTGGAGTATACGGACAATGAGTTCTGCAGCCCTAAGAAGATGCGGTAGCGAAAACCGAGGAGGAAGAGGACATAATGCGCCGTGCGGACAGTAGCGGCCTAGTCGTGTGGCTGAGGCTCAGCAGATTGCATTGTCAAGCGGTTATGTATGCAGACAGTGGATGGTCTTTGAATGCAGCAGCATGTGGAGCGGGTCGTGGTAGGAATAGCGACATTATCCTCGCCCTCGGTCGCTTACACGGATCCACGTCCTACGCACGCGGCACATTATGGTTGTAGGGGAAGTTTGTATGCAATTGAAAACGTGGCATGAAACAACAAAATCCGAATCTCCCTCTTTATTGCTAGCTAAACTTAGCCTCACCATCATAATCAGCAACTAGAGCAGGTCAGATGGTGAGACCGTCCTCTGCTTGTTCAGCCAGATATACAGCCGACAGCTGCGGACAGGACGTTGCCGCAATTACTGTTTTTTCTGATGGCAGCTCCCAGGGCCAACAGCCGCAGACCACGCTCAAGCGTCCTTGGTGAAGTCGACCAAGTCCTCCTTCCAGCCCAGCAGCAAGGCTCCAGGCTCGCTCTGCTCCATAGCCTCAGCCTCTTCCTCCAGCCCTGCGTCATGCGCCTCCTTGCTGCGGATAGCCAACGTTTCTTCCCACCCCTCCTGCATGACGTCCTGTTCTCCGTACAAGCGGTAATACCGCTTAGCGAGCCTCTGGTTGGGCTCAAAGCCGGGCATGGGGCACTGCTCGGGGTGGAGTGGGAAGCAGTTCTCGTCGCTGTGGCTGGGGATGAAACAACAGCGGCAGGGGTGGGGTGTCTTGCCCTCTTTTTCGTTGGTGGTGTGGTTGGCCGGGGTAGTGTCGTAATAGCCCTCCTCTTCCCTGCTCTCAACGATCAACTCGGGGAAGATATCCTCGAGAGTAGGCATGTCGCCTCCGCGCATCTCCTCCCGTATAGCGGCCACAGTGTCCGGGTAGGCGAGTTCGATATGCCCGAGCAAGGTGTTGACCTGATGCGCGTCCTCAATGTGGTAATTCGAGCGCTCGCAGGCAATGATCGCGTACGTGTACCTGCGCAAGAAGGCCTCGAGCGTCTCGTTCTCGCTGTCAAACCACAGCCGGGCCAGATAACCAGCGTTGATGGATTGTTGGACTGGCTCGTCCTCGCCGTAGCACTCGCACAGGTACTGGTAGATGTGCAATGCTTTCGTGGTCTTGAGTTCTGTGGGAACGAGCTCGGCGTCGACGGAGGAGAGGAGTATGCGGCGTGGTTCGGCGTCCTTGGAGGCTTTCCAGCCTTTGCGTGCGGGTCCCGCACACGATACTCGCTCCCATAGACCTCTGGCTTCGAGGTAGGCCTTGAGCTCATTGTGCCATTCGGAGAAGTTGGCGGTTCCTTCGAGAATAGTGTTCATGGTGGTGGTTCGGGGAAGGGTTGAGGTTGGTGGTGGTGTGTGTGAGGTGGTGGACGTTGTTGTCGTGGGAGAGATGGTAGGCGACAAGCTGCAAGGACTTCGCGTCCACTGGAGGTTTGCAGGCGTAGTTGATGATGAAGCGCGCAAACGTTTGGAAGAAGGCTGGCTTGATTGCGCTGATTATTGTTGGTGGTTGTGGTTGTGGTTGTGACGGTGTTGGTGCTTGAAGGTCGGACTCGTTGTTAAAAGAAAATACGCGGCGCGCAGCTAACTTCGGCGCGCCAGCACCGCAGCGTCGCCAAACTTTTGCTCTCTACCCATTAGACGTCTTATGCAGTTATACATACACGGTTCCACTTGTACCCTTCATAGATTTTATTTTCGTACCCTCGTAGTTTCTAAACATATCTGTTGTTCGTGACTTCGTACTCATTCGCCTGCACATGTAGTCTCACACTGCTCTTTTTTATTTTTTCAACTCAATTGCAGCAAACAAGCATTAACAAATAAATATGCTTTTAACCATAGCAAATAAGCATCTGCTTACTTTAATACTTGTTATTTATTTGTTGCAACGAACATTCTCATACCCTTATCCTTCCACCACACCATACCTAGCTAGCAACCACATGCACACCGCACCCGTCCATCCACAACTCCCCAAAGTCTCCTCTCTAGCCTCCATAGAATCTCCCCAACAAGTACTCAAAACCCAGCAAGCCCTACCCAAGCCGTGCACAAATCACGCACACAAAACCCCGAACCCCTCTGTACAAACCCAACATCTAAACCACCATGAACCGCGCGCAACCCCTCTATTCTAAACCATTACGCGCCCCAGAAAATCCCTCCCAGCCCAGTGGCGCCCGGTACTAATCTAGGCAGTAGAGTGACGTTTCCACCTGCAGTAGACGTCTGGTTCAGCCGGGTGGGGAGTGCTTCGTGCTCCTGTACATGAGAGTGTATCGCAGTGATGAGAGGACGCCGAGTCGTGGGGTAGGGGGAGCTGTTAGCTAGTTATGGCAGTACGCTGGGCTATAGTAGGCGAGAGGTTCGGGTTGTCGAAGAGTGCTTTTGAGGAATTTTGGATGTGTTCTGTCGTCGGGGTAAAGAGGGGAGGAGAAGGAGTACAGGAAGGGTCTTCCACACCATGGAGAGACGCTTAAGTGGTTTTGAAAAGGCCGCAGTCAAATCGGCGGAGCAATTGATAAGTATATCAACGGAGAAAAAACACGAGTAGGTAGCAGGGCTGCAGGAGAGAGCGGGTTGTCACAGCTGCGGGGAGTTCTGAGGTTTTTTATCGTCGCGGAAACTTACGCACGGCAGGCAGCAGTAAAGGAGAGCAAAGGCGTAAAGCGGAAAGGAAAAGCTTGTATTACTAGACACTAAGACAGCAGCGACCGGACACAACTTGAGCGCACCTAAGCCTCGTGGAAGGGGAGTTTCCCTATAATGAACAAAGTCAGCTCATTATCTTCTACGGTCTTGCAACAACAAATCAGATTAAAAAATATCCCTCAGAAGTGTCACGGTTGGGTATCAGCATAGACAACCACCTGGGGAGGTAAACCTAACTAAAGCCCCAGGTGCAGAAGTCTCTAGCCACCGCTAAACTCATCGTAGGGAAAGAGGAGGGGAGGGGGCAGTCTTACGCATAAAAAGATGCGGAGGGCCGGAACAGGTGTCAGGAGCGGTCGCCGCATCGCTGCGCTGGAAGGAAGACTGAAAGAGCGCTTCAAAGGATCGGTCCATGTAGGAGAACTGTAGCAACAATTGTTAGCGGAAGCTAATTAATACAACGAGAAGCAGTCAAAGGGAAATGCGTTTGTGCGCCTCAGCGTAGTATCTGCATACTTGGTAATCACTGGCGGTCCGGAAAGCCCATCCGCACTTCAAAGAAGAGGGATAAACGCCGGAGCCGGACCACTCATCCATATGGTCTCATCATTGGCAAGTAGGAAAAGATTCTGTGCTTACCTGCAAGAACAAAGACCGCTCTCAGAAGGAGCAAGGATTTGGCCAGCTGGGAGCTTCGGATCTGCCCAAGGCGAGGAATTGGCAGTGCGCCTCAGGTGCAACTTCCGGCTCCATGAAAAGCAGGAGAGCACTGAAGGTCAAGCCTCGGCGATGAAGCAGACCTAGCAGCAAGCATTAGCAATCGAGCCTTCGAAATCCGCGTACAATCAAGTGTTCTGGCCCCTCAGGTTCTCGAAGCTTTATCATTGTAACCACGATCTGGAACAGAACTGGTTCTCTCGATAGTTTAATCGGATCATCATTTGGGGTGCCCTCAGGTAGTTCTCTCGGATATAATCACCGAAGCCCACAAACCTCTCGCGAGGCGGGATTTCTTAGATAGATCAAAATGCGTTTTTACTCATCACCGGGCGGAGAAAGATCATCATGTTCTTAAGTACTCACCTGTTCAAAGAGCGAAAGTACCAAAGAAACAGAATGCCGAAGTGGTAGGAAGCCAAAGAGTGGAAGTCTCGAGCAGAAACTAGAAAGCCTAGAATCAGCTGTTGGCGAATATACCTGGGCAAAGAACTGCGAACAAAAGTGTGAAGAATGTCCTCAGATAAGTTCTCTGTAAAAAGTATCATAGGAGCCACAACTCTTGCGAGCGGGTTATCGTCTAAGCTCAGATCTGGATCATCACTGGACAAAGGGGAGGAAGTGTCAACACCTTACCTTTTGAGCACCAATGAGAAGGCAGAAGCATCTGCTAGAGCCGAGATCCAGAGCCACGGGGATGGGTGAGCTTTCCAGCGACATCTTTGAAGATCTATAAAGCCGTCAATTGAAGGACCCTTGACAAAGTGTACTGGCAAGAACGAAGATAACAAAGCCCCTCAGTGAAGTGTAAATTGGTAAGCTTGGTTGGTCTCATAGTCGTCAATCTTCTAGCGAAGATGGCGCACTCGATGATACAGAGATAACATCATTGGGGTGGACAGTGTCATAAGCATCTTTGCTTACCTTTTGACTAAGTACCGGTACAAGCAAGCGGCTTAATGTGAGGGCAAATGAAAAGCTACCAGTGAAAAGTTAGCGTAAAGTCAGTAGGAAAAGCTAAAAAGCAAGGAAAAAAAAGGTGAGGCTCCTCAGTGTAGTGGTTTATCATCATTGCCCAACTTCTCGCGAAGCGTGCAATATCAGATCAAAATCGAAGACATATGGTGTTCATCACTAGAGCAGACGGGGTAAAAGAGCTTCTTTGCTTACCTTTTGGACAACGCAACAGGGTAAGTAAAGGGCAAAGTGCCAGGATAAGAAAGTGTTGAAGTGTACGCAGTTTATATTGCTTTTTCTGTGGCTTAGTCATTTAGCACAGGGTATAAGAGGACTCCGCCTACCGGGCTCCTAACAAGATCATGCCACTCATTACTATCAATTGAAACCCCATTCATTGCAACAGAAAGGCTTCCAGCCAGGAGAAGAAGCTATTAATAAAAGTCAAGTCAGCGGCGAGTAAATAGAAGACGCGGAAGGGTTGAAAAAAGCAAGGCCCCTCAGTTACAAATCCTTATCTCACAGATAGCCAACTTCTCGCGAAGCCGGCGGTCTCGAGTTATGCAGAAGGAATGTTTGTCATCATTGGGGTGGTGAAGGATATCACGAACCTCCTTACCTCTAGAAGAGGGGCCAGGATGAAACGGCTTTCCGACATACTGTAATGGAAAAAGACGCTTCTCAGCACGGTGCAGGTCGGTGCAGCAGGTTAGGGAAAAATCGAGAAACCATGCTTGTAGCAGAGCTAACTAGAGAAGGTAAGTCAGTGAGGTTGGCATTGCGAAAATAGAGTGGCAAAGCTTACGTCGATACAAAGCATGAAGACAGTAAGGCTCAGAAGACCCGAGCGAGCGGCCCACCAGCCCGAGGCGGTGGAACTGACAAGGCAAACGGAAGGGGCCTAAGGTTTAGAACACCTTGCACAAAGAGTATCAGTAAGAAGCAGTGACAAGAGGTTACTCGTCGGGGAATGAATGTCTCAGAGCCGTAAAACCGCGGGACTTGACAGCGTCGAGCAGAGCAATACTCTGAGTTTAATTGATCTGCGGCACAGCACTAGTCAGCTCGCCACTGCGACAGACGCCAGCTGTTTCTGAAGAAGCGAGCGCAACGCATGTCGGGCGAGAGACCTTAAGCGAACCGCCTGGGGAGGGGAAGGACTGGGAGAGGAGGAGAGGTGGTCGCGCGATAAGACAAAACTTACAAGTTCGGGCAGACGCGGGCAGGGGCCAACTATGTTGAGCTTAACCGGAGACCGCGAAGGAGTCTCTTCATCAGCTTTCTCAGTCAGAAAGACAGGCAGTCGTAGCATAAGGGTGGGCTTTGCAGGGCCGGATGCGCCGCGGAGATTTGCTGCGAGAAAATGAAGAAGTCAGCGATGAAGAGAGCGCTGTTGAGCAAAGGGAGACTTACGAGGGACTACCACCGGTGAGGGAGAGCAATGAGCGGGCTTTGAAGGATATTCGAAGGTTCCGTCGCGCGGAGAGAGGAAGTGTGAGGTTAGAATGTTAGGAGAGGGCCTCCAGTTGACGAATATGGTGCTTTTGCGTGACATCTCCGGGCGTGAAATGATGAACAGCGTAGCAGAGACTGGAAGAGAGCGTTAGTAGAGAAGGAGGTGTTGTGGAAGGACGTTGGGAGGCAAAGGTGACCTGGCTGCGCGGCAAGCTCAGAGCGAGCTCAAGTCGCGACGCCAGCGGGAGCGACTTACCGGCGATGAGCTATTGGTGATAGTTGAGTGCGCGAGGCGAGGACGCAAAGAGGAACGGCGTAGAGCAGAAGCAAAGAGGTAGAAGGAGGAAGGTTGGGCGTTGAGTCAGAGGATGGGTGGAGTGGAGACGCGTGCGTGGGTGGAGAGGAAGAGGGAGAGCGTCACAAGGCCCAGGGAAAAACAAACACAGTTTGTGCGCTAACGCCCTCGCTCCGCGTCAACTATCGGCCGCTATGGAAGCTTGCAGGAAGATGTATCATTCACTACAGCCGTATATGCTGCCACTGTTTGCCTGGGCGGCAACACTCATCGAGATCGGCACAGCACAGGGCACTGCCACGCCCTACTGATTGGCTTGCAAGCGCCGCCAAAGAGAATCACCGATGACATAGTTGGCATACTCAAGGAAACTCGACACCTCCATTCATTTCTACATGAAAGCCTCGCCCGGTCATGATATCAAGCAGTCTCGATCAGACCCTGAATAACCGTGCCCGAACCCAGCAAAATATGACCACTTCCCATTATCTCAAGTCCAGGCCACCGACTTGCCCACCCTCGACCTTCAGGCCCCTTCCTCCTGCCGCAACTAATGACTGAGCCCTACAGTACTACCACCGACACCTCCTCCCCAGCTCTTCCCTTGCTTAAAACTGCGCTAACCAGCTCTAGCAACGTAAACAACCATCGCACCCTCTGTAAATCCTCTCCTTTCTTCCCCAGTAGTGCATCAGACCCTTGCCGGTCAGCGAGGAGGTTTCTCAGACACCTAGCACTGCCTTTTTATTTCCGTTCTAAAGATTGTTGACGTTGGCACGTATTCCCTGCAAATCAGCGGAAGTGCACGACTGTGCCTAAAGAACTGAACCAGTTTTAAAATCTATACAACTGAGAACAGGGAAAGCTACCTGAAGACCTCGATACTGCACCTCTTCTCACAACCTTCTCATGTGCCGGCGCCCTGGGCCTTCACGGCCTTCTCTTGGACATTCGCTGCTTCTGATTCTCCACTGCCCACCCAGCCTACGACGTTGTAGACACGTTTTTACCTCCTCCAGTAGACTAGCGCAACCTCAGACAGGACCGCACGCCCGTACTCTACATCCTATCCATGCTTTTGCTCCTACTGCGGCAGGCGGCCAAACTGCAGACACGGTCGGCAGTACCTACTGCCTCGACAAGCAGCAGTCTCTGAGCCCATTGCCGGCTGCCATATCCTCCCCTAACGTCCGAGGTTGTAGGTATAAGATCGACAACGTGAGAGTTTATTATGTGGATGTGTTTGCGGTGCCGGAGCTCGCGCAATAGGTGTTGTTGCCAGGGCTGGGGCATGCCTACGCAGAGTCGAGGGTGATGGGGAGGGCGGAAGAGAAGGAAGTAACGCATGAGTGTGGGAGTATCAGCTTTAGTGCTGCTGCGTTTGCTTGGAATTGCGTATTCGGCGATAGGAGGTGATGTGGGGTTTTACTTGCAGCGGGTCTAGGACGGTGGAAATGCGAAATTGAAGTCTACGCAAACGAATACCATTAGCGACGACGCTTATGCGACTAGGAGAGTAAGAAGATGTTGATAGACAAAACTGCTGCGTAGGAGACGAAGTAGTGCTCTTGCTGTGCCTATCCTTGCGGCTGCAGCAGCGGCGCCAGATGATCATGTCGGTTTCGCGAATGTCTTACCTTGCAGTCAGCGTGAGGATGCGCCGTGCCCTCGACTCTTAGTTCTCGTCTCTGCGAATCTTTCGAGGAGGATAGAGCGAGATGCTGCTGGACTTCCGCTTCGCGGTATGGGGGTGTGGAAGCATGGCGCAGCTGTGCCCGCTTCGCGGCTGCTCTTATGGCGCGCCGCGCCTTAAGGCGACGTTATGAGCCTCTTGCTTCATGTAAGGAATGATCCTGTGGCCTTATGCTCGGCCTTCGAGGTTTTTATGCGGATGCGTGCTTGTTGCCGGTGGATGGGTGCCTGTGATTGAGAATCCTGTCAAGGCTGTCAGTGGCATAGAAGCTTGAGGAGCGGGGGTCGGATCGGTACCTGCTGCGCGAGAGCTGAGGCTGAGGAGCGGATGTCGTGGGGAATACGAGGTGCTATGTGTATGCGACAAGGGCTGATGAGCGCGATGGGGCTTGTCGCGGAGTTGGTGCGCGCGGTGGTTGTTTGTGTCGGCTCACTGAAGCCCACGAGCTGAAGATTCGACGGGACGCGACCGCGAGGCCGGCACCCGCCTTCGAGAGATCCCACGCAGGGTAGCCATTCAATATGTTATGAAGCCTGAAGTCTATCTGCTTGCCTATATTCCTCATGAAGCTCTACAGCCAACACACTCGCCGACGCGATCTAGCTAAACCGCTCACCCGATCCCAGTGCTCAGCCACCTGCCACCTGCCAGCGCTCACCAAAGCCTACAAGACCAAGATCCCGCAAAGAATTACGAAGGAATGTATCACATGCACTAAGGGAGAGACACAAGACCGGCCCGCCCTCCGACTGCCATGACTTCAATCTCGGCAGCAATCTGAAGCGACCACGACACTGAAACGTCGCGGCCCCAATTGCGTGCGCCTTTTAACCTGGAGGAGAAAAGAAGAGTAAGTCGAGGGGAGGGGCGCGGGTTTTATGCGTGTCCCGGCGGGACTTCAGCTGTGCTTCAGGAAGGCACGACGGCGGCACGAGAGGGCAGACGCGTCTGTCTTCCTGGGAGCTTGAGGCGCGCGTTTCGGCGGCAGAGAGCTGTACCTAGGAGTAACGCGCGCTGTGTGCATTGTGGCGGGCAGTAAGAGGCGTTTTCGCGCCAAAGGACGAGGCCCGACGAAGACTTGGAAGTGAGGCTCGCAGTTATGGTACAAGGCAGGAGGAAGGTTTTCACGGGAATGTTCACAGGAGACAGCAATAAAAAAGTATAATAAACTAAATGTCGGTCCACTGAGGATTTTGGCAATGTTGCCAGCTAGCCATAGAAAGGCTGGCAGCAACTAGGTAATTAATCGTTTCAATCGGCATAAGTGAACCTGTCAATATCGGAGATGCCTCAAAGCTAGAAAGCGGTATGAAAGCCGCTCTAGCTTGCACTGACACTCCGGGCTGCACAGGAACAGAATGAAAGCGACAGCACTTCAAACACAAAATGCCATGTAGCCGCCTGCAGTCCAGCCAGCCGGCCATGGAGAAGACCGGTTACAATGAGATGCGGACGGCTGAGGGCAAAGCCCAGTTCGATGTTGGAGTTCCGGCTGCGTGTTGTGTATTAACCCCTGCAAGGTATTGGTAGTTCTCATGGTGTTTGCGGTGGAACTCCGGTGTTGAAAATTGTACAGAAGCGCCCTATAGGCGAGGTCCAAGTTCTGAGTGAAAAAAAAGAAAGAGAGGGAGGCGGGGGGAGGGGGTATTTATGCTACGACTTCCTCGCTTAACGGGAGTCTGTTCGGGTCATGGGTGTTGTTGGTGAGTGCTGCAGAGGAGTGCAGCAGGCCTTGGCACGCCTTCCCGCCCTGCAGGGTTGCTGGCTACTCACCAACGCCGCACAGGGCACATTGAGCGCGGCTGGGCCCAGAGTCATTCGGAAAGCCAGCTTGACGGGCATGAGAGACGCAGCGTGGAGGAGCCCGAAGCATCATGGTAAGTCCTCAGCTTCTCACGACAGGCTAGGGCTTTCTACCACTGCATCTCGCTGACCGCGGCGACCTCTTTTCCCAAGCAATGTCCAGCTCCGACTGCCACCGCAGGGCGCAGACCTACCTCTTACCACGCCTCGGCCGCTGCTCCGCCTGTAACACTTTCCCAAGGACGCTCGCACACAGCCACCACTCACGCACGCCCGGGAATTGGTGCGACGACAGGGCACGTAATGTGGCTGAACAACTGTCAAGTCCTTGACTTTTCCCTCATAACCTTGTGCTGACTGCGAGAGAGGCACGGCACTCAAGGAACTACGGTGCGAAACCAAAAGCATGCCCCACACGCACCGAAAGCTGCGATTGGACGCCCCCTCTATTGCCATACCGAGATCGAACCTTTTCGTCATGGAGGACAGATGCAATCATTCAGTCTCTTCGTTGCCTCCTGGCGCCACTGTCGTCATCCCCATTCAAGCGCAGTGTCCCAATGGCATTGGAACCAATCTATCGAGAACCTACTCTAATGGCAAAGAAAGAGGGAAGACATATTGTTAGCGGTCACATTGCAGGATGCAATGGCAAGAGTAGATGAAGCTGAACAAAGGACATCCGCCTTCACGATGGCTGCGACATCGAAGGCGACCAGCAGCGTCGCTGCGAAGGACAATGATAAGGTGTCTTGGAAGTCAGAGCCTTAACAAGGCCTGGCAAAATATGGATGACCAAGCCAGCCTGGTGTCATGGTCACCATCGAGACCTCCTTAAAAGCGACGGCATTCGTAGCAGACAGTGGCACAAGACAGTATCATCGTGCTATTACAGGTAAGGCTTCCCCGTGCATGGCTACCATATCTTTGAACGCCGCTGTGTGCCCGGCTAACTGTTTTATTCTTTGGCAGACCGGAAAGCTTTGTCCTGAAACTTCCAGCCGTTTCCTCACGCGTTCTTTCTTCCAGTTATCCTTGCCTTTGACAAGGAACAGGCGAACAATCGGAACAAAGGCCACCATCACATCTTTCGCCTCGCGAGTCGCGACCGACACGCGGCGCACCATGCTCAAAAAGTGGCAGGCACTGGGTCCTACCAAGGATGATGCTGCAGAGCGTAGTACAATGCAGGGCAAGGGGATGAGCGGAGTCGCAAATTGCACCTGCGTGTGCTGGCAAGGACAAGACCGCCATGTCGGGCGAAGCCTGCTGCTACGCGAAGCCGCTGCGCTACCCGGACAACTGCTTCTCTTCGCTGTAGTCGAATGCCGTATCTCGGGGTCCGGCTTGTACTTCGTGTCCAGGAACGCTAAAGCTTCGGAACCAAAGTTCGAGAACTCCAGGTTCACTTTGACCAAGACGTGTCGCTCCAAAGACGCGGAGACTGTGCTTTTGGTATGTGCGACAATTAGCCAAATCCAAGACAATGTAAGTACGCGACTCCAAGCTCTTCTAGTCGGAGAGAAAGCCAACCGTCGCTAATCGGTGCCAACACAAACAGCTGCGGACATCTACTCTAGAGCTTGGAACCTTGCTAGTCTCGCAGTCAATTTGCCAGTGTTGTCACTTCGAACATTTCGCAAATCACAGGCAGCACGTCCGCCGTTGTCCAGGGCTTCGGTTATAACTCTGCAACAACTGCACCGCCTTTGAGACCAAGACACTTCGAAAGGCATGCCACGCACGAACAAGACGATAGCGCAGTACACGTCCCGCACGCTATGGAGACCGCCACTGATGACGCGAGATAGCGCCGGTCGCGGGTCCCAACGGCTACACTGAGCACCATAGCGCACTCTGGGACTAAGAGCCGTGCCGCCATGATCGCAATGAACGAGATGGTCATCGGGAGACACTGGGACTCAGAAGGCCGCAGCTGGCGCGCACCCCTATGACCATCTCGGCCGCGTCGGTCATGCTCAGTGCCTTAGGCGTTTCTACCAAGCTTGCACCTTTCGCCAGCCGCATGAACTTCTAGGAGAACACCCGCGCCAACGTGGCTACTATGATGCGCACGGCCTCGCGCCACCTCGCGCCGCCTTGCACGCGGTACAAGCCCTTGCAGGGCGCGGACGCTCGCTGAAGGGGCTGCCGGCGCCCGTTGAATGGCCGACAAAGAGGCTTGCTCAGGTTGCGAAGGAGACGATTCTGGTAATATGATAACGTGAACTGGCTCCGCTGTGGATGTAGGGGGAGCCCCGGATGGTTGGGTGGGGGGAGAAAGTAGGGACTGATCACTTCATCGCAGATTTGGCGGCACAAGCATGACATTTCCTTGAATTCCTTCATCTCTTGCAATGGTAACAGATCTTCGCCGTCTGACGGCGGCGGTGCCGATGAGCCAATCATGATGGGGTTGGCCTGATGGTCTTGTTGCGAGAAGCGGGGGCCGGCGTCCGTGGTAAGCTCGCGGGGCGCGGCGCTTCGGCAGCAGCAGCAGCAACAGCAGCAGGAGGGGAAGCAGGAGCAGAAGCAGTAGCGGCGGCACTGCTTAGACCTGGACTACTCCTCGGTGACATTAATCAGATTTGCTTGGAATATTTTAGGCCGGAACAGGTGCGGTCGTGAGCTTTTGATACTATACTCCTTTGTTGGAACGAAAGCTTTTCCATGTTCGGCATGTCGAGCGCCTGCTCCAAACCTCCAGTATCACGGTTGTAACTTGTGCTGAGGTGGTGAGATTCATTCGTTTTATTGCAGTTTTGCGCCTCTTGATGTCAAACCCGAGTCCCCAACAGTGGACGCCTGCGAACTGAGTCTCGTCTGTTTACTTCCAATGACACTGTCTGTGCCAGGTAGGCTTCTTTGTCCTTCAACAATGCCGCCATGTTCTTTGTTTTGCGCTTTCCAAAAAGCTTCCGCGCTTTGTCCGGGGAACAAAGGGCGACTGAGAGGAGGGATAGACCGCAGTGATCTCCAAAAAAGTTTTGAATGTGCTTGTTATACAACACAACGCTCCTGCTCTGAACTTTCCCGTGCTCTTTGTCCGCGAAATGACGAACGAACGGAATAGCCTTTGTGCCTTAGAGGAAGCTCTTGGTGTCCACGCAGTATCATTTCCGCTCTCTTGTCTTCTAATCGTTCTCCCTTGCATAGAAGATTCCCGTCTGCTCTCGTCCTTGGATATGATGTATTTCCGCATGCCATGTCTTCAAACATACCTCCTCCTGCGTAGATCGTCCCAAATCGAATCACTATGGGCTATGGTCGGCCACTCTTGCACTGTCCGTAGGACATCTTAGCACGTGGTGTCGCTGTCGAGGGAAAACTTCGTGCTTGTCTGGGCCTCTGATGAAGCTTGTCAGCAGTGTTTCAATAGGGCCTTTCCACGAAGTCCCATATCGAGCCAGACTGTTCCATGTACTCGCAAACCTGTATACAGTGCCTCGGGACAGACGTCTTTGTGGCTCGTTGACCCTCATTCCCCTGTAGTATGCTCTGCACGCCGTGTGTGCTTGTGTGCGCCGTCTCCGCAACCCTGCCGTGCGGCCTGCTGCAGGTGGTGAATGTCCTTCTTGTAATAGCTGTGGCATGCTTCATCCGGATGTGTAGGTTGCCGCGCTTTGTCCTCGGCAGCACCTGGGGAGTGATGGAGCCGAGGACGTGCGTATGGGCCAAAGCAGAGCAATGTGCACTGGCAGGGCGGCCTTCGTGGTGGCGAAAGGGCGTGCTGTGGGGCCGCGGAGGTTAGGAGTGCTATATAGTCTGCTTATGCGCTTGGAGCAGCAGTTTTTTCGCTTCGTGCTGTGTTGAAGACCGATCTGGACGGCTTGCAGAGGCGGACGGACACGCGAAAGGAGATGCGGCGGCTCGACATGGTGGAGGCGACAACGGAGATGTAAGAAGTGTTTGGTACTACTTGATGGAAGAGGGTACTGAGAGGTTTTAGGGTACGAAAGATGCTGCAGAAGTGGTGTGGGCGTGAGTTTGAAGGGTGGTGTGGGGAAGGAAGGCGCTCTGCGGACAAGATCACTGTACATACAACAACGGGGCCAATTCAGCTCTATATTAGCAGATTCAAAGTCATCTATTATCCAACTCAAAGGGTATAGTAATCTATAAGTCAAGAGAGATCTCATCCTCGACGCCCGGCAGATCCGTCTGAGACGCCACATTCATCACGATACCGCGAACAATATCCTCGTTCGTCATCTCAAAAAGGAAGTCATGAAGCCCCTTCGCCTCATCCGGATCCTCATATTGCCTATTGATGACTCTTGTCAACGCCTCATCCATATGGCGTTCGAGCCTGCTGATAAGCTCCGAGCAAGTCATCACTAAGCCGTTCAGCTTGTGCACCCTGTACTCCATGTACTCCCAGAAGTTTATAAGCATGAGCGGCTTCATGCCTAGGAGATAGTTCTCGATTCTTACGAAGCGATCCCTATGGACGCGAACGAGGTCCTCAGGTGGGATTGAGAAGGTCACTCGAGGGTTTTCGGGGGCGAGAACCATGGCGTCCTCGAAGGCAGCGGGGTCATACTCCTCATTCGAGCTGTTAGGGGGTATGAAGCCGCCGGAATAACGTCTCTGGATGGGGAGAGCGGGGTTAGCGAAGCTGAGGATGGACTGGTGGGATTCCTCCGGTAAGGCGAAGGCCCGCGGGACGTAGCTTACTGGAGGAGAGGGCGGAGGAGGTGGCGGCGGGACCTCCATCTTCTGGTAAACTTCTTCGTCGCACGCTGGACAGGTGTTCTTGAAGAACTGCTTGCCATCTTCTTCGGTGGTGGTTTGGAGCATCCAGTCAACGAGGCATGAGTAGTGGAGCATGCGCTTGCAACAGGCCATGGTTCTCACGAGCGCCATGGCGCCTTCTCCCGGCCCAATGGAGTGGCATTTCGAGCAGACACCCTTGGCCTTCTTTATCTCCTTGGGGGTTGAGTGCGAGGCTTGTAGGACGAGGTTGAGATACTCGGAGCGAGGTGGGAGCGTAGTTGGAGCTTTGTCGTTGCGGCCGAGCTTGCCCAGGAGTCGCTTCATTCCTTTAGGCATTTTGCGAGACTGCTTGTGAGGAGAGTTGGCGGCAATGGTGAGTGTGGAGGTAGTGACTGGCGAGCGGTGCTCCGGTTGGTGGGTCAGAGATGTGTTGTTGTTAATCGAAGAGGGATATCGCGAGATTTTAGAGTGAGTGAAGAAGAAGAGCCAGAGTGGATGATGAGGGAGAGCGATGCTCGTTTATTTAGTCATTCGGCAATAGCGGTATTGTTGACGTTCGTTGCGCGGCGGAGAAAGTTGAAAGGGCATGGCAACACGAAAGTTCACTCCAAAGAGCTTAGCGCCCTTCCGCCTCCGACCAGTGACTGCGATGGGAGAAACTACATACCTTCATAGTTTGAACCCCAAAGCATGCGCAAGTAAAAGAAGAAAAGTAATTCTTAGGCCCATTCTCCCACTGTCAACTGTTCGCAGCTGGATAACACTTACACAGCTCTCACGACTCGAATCCTTGCTGACAATGGAATGGCAAAACATCAAACTTCCCAAACAATCTAGTCGTGTAGATCCATTGACTCGGGTGGGGTGAGCAGACAGTCGGAGGGATTTGGCTGTATTTATGGGACAACGGGAAGGCGATGGTATGGAAGCGAGGAAGAGTCTGCGAAGCACGTTAGTTTGGCATAGTCAGGGGGACAAGTTTGTGTATAGTATAATGAGTGTTGCTGAAATTCAAGAAAGTACTTAAGGAAATACGTCTAAGGGGAAAAGTCTTCTAAGGGGAAAAGTCTATGTAAATCTCAAATCAGTCTATGGGAAAAAGAAAAACAGAGATTGTGTATGCGAAATCCTCACAAATGGACAACTATACTCCGAACTCCGTTACAAAGGAAAAAAACAGAAGAGCCCATCAGCAGCGGCTGATTCGGGGAGGATAGACAACTCAGGCGAGGCACCTAATCTGGGGGGTACCTACGCGGGCGCCTCTCGTCGTCGCTCGTGTTGGACGACGAAGCAGGCGACGCCTCTGAACCAGAGTCAACGGCGCTGGACCTGGCTTCGCAGTGGGCCTCAATGCCCCGTGCAATCTTCCTCGCCCAGATGAGGACCTCCCCTGGGCGGGCATCTTCGGGGTGGTGCGCGTTCGGATGCTCCTTACGCGCACGCTCCAGACGGGACAAAGTCATCTGGAGCAGGAGCTGTCGCCACTGTGACGATTCCACGATCTGGTTCTCGTTCAATGTGATGGCATTCACGAGATCGTGCTCCATTTGCACGGTCAAATTCCCCCCGACAAATGCAGGGATGGTTACTTTCTTCATGGCATCCCTGACAACCTGGACAGGGTCCGTAATGCTGATCATGAAGAAGTCAGGGCGAGGAGACTCGTCATCAATGATGACGCCTCCGTAATCAACCTGCACTTCCTTCTTAGACTTGGAGAGCCCCAGCGTCTGGGACAGCCTCCGGAAGAAAGAAGGCTTCTTGACCGCTCCCTCCGAAGTGCGACGAGACGACCCCAAGGACTGGCTAATGGCCATGGAGTTTGACCGCTTTGCCTTCGTCCGAGGGAATAGACGCTGCCTGCATTGTGGGTTGGGGCAGACTTCTTGGCAATATCCCTTGACCGTCTGGTCAAGGTACTCGGCCATGCAAGGTCTGTGGTAGACCTTGTAAAGATGCCTCTGGAAGCAGCAATGGGGGATTACGATCGTACCTTGCCACTTCTCGTTCTCGCTGGTGTCGATGTCATCCCAGCAATGGTCACATTGCTCCTCCGCCACGAGGATCTGTGGCGTAGCAGCATTTACTAGGCCAGATTTCAGGAACTCCTCCCTCGAGGGGAATAGGCAGTAGTCGTTCATATGTCCGTTGCTAGACATTGTCATGACTTGTGAATATACGATATTCACTTTTCACTTCAGTGGAGCGTATTCAAATCAGTGCAGTCAGCGTTATGAGTCCAGCTCTATGCTTGTCGCTTGCCTTGAATATTTTCTTAGTGCCGATAGAAGCTCATCTTGACGCCGTTTATATACATTCACGGTATTTGTGGTTTCAAACTTGATTAGCAACAATGTATGCATAGTCCAGTGATATTCGTAAACAATACCGCCGCGGAGCATAGCCTGCAAACAAAACAGCCATTGTTCGTAGTCCAGAGATCCTTCCGTCTCTTTCCATACTTGTCCAGAACCTCCTCGTGCCTTCATTATGCGTGAATAACTCCTCCATGGTTCGTGGTCTAAGGAATATTCCGTTGTGTTGAACGCTGCGTCGCTGCCAGGATGCTGTGCCGGTTGAGCTGCGTTCGGAACGTCGTCATTCGTTAAAGCGTTGCCTATGCTCAGGTCAATGTCAGCTGAATGTAAGACCAAAGGAAGGGAAGCGGTGGCACGAGACACATCAAGATAAAAGGGCCAGCCCTCATTGCGGTGTTTCGCAACAAGGGCCTATGTAGTGCAGGGTTGGTTGAACGCGCCTGTCTGATAGAAAATAATAAATTGGAACGTGGTACTTACTATAAAATTCAAACCCTTCTAAGCAATTACTGAAAGCCAAGGACGATAGAGGTGCGGCCTATATAAGTGAAGCCGACAATAAAATCATTTGTCACCAGCGAGAATCGGTACAAGCGCAGAGGCAGAGCGAGGAATGATTAGGCGGTGAAAGGGATGGTGTCCCAGTACCTGAAAGGCATCTCAAGCGGCCCACGCTCGGTCATGGTGACACTGATGGAGATGCCAATGAACTGGGCCAGTGGCCCAACCCATCCCTTGTGGTCGTCGCCCTTTCCAAGCCAGGCATTCGGAAACTCGTGAATCTCCCTCATCAAGATATGGTCGAGCGTCTTGTAGACATCGTGCTTGAGGTCCTGGACAAGCTTGCTCTTGCCCTTTAATGGCCCCAGGGAGTCCTTGAGGCTATTCTCCCATTCCCTCAGGAGGCGATTGCCGACGAAATCGGGCACGAGTCCCTTCCTCTTCGCAAGCTCCAGCACCGATGCAATGTCGTCCGTCCTGATGATGCAGATCAGCACGGGGGTCCGCTCGGAAGACGGCCGGGCAGAGTCCACCCGCTTCTTGTTCTTCATGGACGGAGGTGGACCAGCTGAAGCTATACGGCTCGAGCTCTTCATAGATGAAGGGGCGCCCGCTGCAGGCACACGGCTAACGGAAGAGACCGAGGAGGGGTTGATGTCACGGGACTTCGATGATCCGAAGCTGCTGCTGAAGCTCCTAATCATTCCCCTGAAGGAGCTAGTCCTACGAGCCTTCGGGGCCTTGGTTGCCTTGTACAAGTGATCATGGCAGTCCTCATTCGGGCAGCGGTTCTGGTAGATTCCCTGCACCGATTGGTTGAAGTAGTCTTGGAGACACTGCCGATGATAGACCTTGTAGAGGTACTTGTTGTTACAGCACCTCAGCGCGACAATGGTACCCTTGAAGGTTTCGTTCTCCAAAAAGTCTATGGGTTCCCAGCAGTGATTACAGATGTTGTCTGCCACGTTGATCTGGGCACTCGTGGCCGGCACGATGAAGTCGCCAGACTGGAGGAACGTGCTCCTGTCGGGTAGTTCTAACTTCGGAGCAAGGGACATGTTGTGGTCGTATTGATGTTGGTAGGATTCTTCTGGTTCTGAGATGACTGATGGTTTTCGTAATAAAGATTGTAACTGCTTGGGTGGTGGGGATGTAGCTGTGGTGTTTTGGTCTGGCTGACAAGATGCGGTGGAGTACTCCGCCTATATATCATCGTTCATTAGCAATGTTTGCATTGTAAGGGAAGAGAAAGGGATTCACAGTTACCTTGTATATATACAATGCCATTGTTTGTTGTGATGACGACAAAGGCCGGACAAGTTGACAATAAACGAACAAGGCAACAATGGCTAGCGGATACCCAGGAATAGTTTGACATGCAAGCGCGAAATGCTGATTGGAGACACTACAGGCTGCCAGGAGAGGCATTACCCAGGCGATGGGTTGCTGAACGTCCGTAGTTGAAGGCCGATGCGTGAGTGGGAACTTGGGAATCGAAGCGGAGATGGTCGCCCCAACTGGTCAAGAGAGGCTATGAGGATTCTTTTGTACGTTGAGTTAGCCTTTGTCAACGTTCTTGGGGTGCGTAGGTACATGCACTTGTGCGAGACGATGTCTTGCCAAGAGTGAAGCCGGACAGGACAAAGAGGCCAAACTGTCTCAGACCACCACACGCAACTGTCCGCTTGGCTTTGACGACTCTGAGGATAAAAAAGGTTCGGGTGGTGACAGGCAAGCTCGTCCACCTGGCCTTTGTCAGGAGCTGTTGCAACGCGAGGATGACAGTGACGGTGTTGACGCGCCCGAGGGGGTTCGGGTGGGGGTGCAGGCGGGGAAGTTACGCCGGCGACAATTGGAGGGGAGAGACGCTGCACCTTCTGTCCTGGCTGCCCGTCCCCTCGTCTGTGCCTGCTCCTTCTGTCTTTCTTCATTCCTTTCCACCGCCTTTTAAGTTCAACTTCGTCCTCCTCTTTCTCAATTCTCTCTATCACCCTTCTCTCCACTTCTCCTCCACCTTCTTTCCGACAATCTCTCCTTACGTCACTCCTTCTCGCCTCACATCGCCTCTGTCCCTCAATCTCAGTCTCTTTCAAACCCTGAGGATCGATCGTCATGTTCGTTGGCAGCCTTGTGGTATTCGACGCAGATCCTGAAAATACAACGTCGATCCTGATTCGCCTTCCGCCGCCCGCGATCCTGTTCCATCCTGACACGAACCTTGAAATTGAGCACTACGACGTTATGGACGTGGACGCAGCCAGCCGTCCTGGAGCCCAACAAGTCCCTACTCCGCCTAACACGCCCCAGGTCACTCCGCCAGACTCGCCTGAGACTAGCCCTCCGGACACTCCACGATCGGCTCCCCAGGATACGGAAGACACAGATCTTCCAGATATGACACAAGTGAGCTCTGAAATCGTCCAGGAACCTGGTGCTTTGACATCGGATCAAGGCAGTCCTGTCAGCCCACCCATGACCGACCAGTCTCTTCCGACAGAGGGAGAACACGCTGAGCACTCAGAGACAGAGCAAGCGAGCCAAAGAACGACTGAGTTTGTCAGTGATCCAGTGGTCGACGACGGTAGTAAGCCAACAGACGAGGTTTGCATCTCCCATTCCTGTTTAGAAGCGGACAGCATCAGGCTAACGAACCGATACAGAAGTGGCGCCAGGAGATTTGTGACATGATCGCTGGCCGCAAGCCGTGCATGATGTGCGGCGCCTACATGGGATGTACGAAGCGCCTGTGGGCCTGCTGCTTGCCTCCCCACCTTCATCGAGGAGCCCAGTTTCACTGCTCCGTGTGCCTCCCTCTCGACGACGACCTTTTCCCGGTCAGAAACACATGGCTTCCTAGATTGTGCGGTCCCAACACAAGTTTTGCGTGTACCAGCTTCTGGTGCCAGGTACTTAACTGGTCGGGCCTCAGTCGTGCCGAAGCGCTTCGCAAAATCCGTTCTGAGGAAGCGGAAGTCCTCCGCCGTATGGGGATTAAGGACAAAGTCTAGTGAGCACACCAACGGTTGTAGATGACCGCAGCTAACATCTTCAGCGCCTCTGCTTAACTCCACGCAACCCCAACACAGTCTGCCAAGCTCAGACGACCCGATGCCAGTAACATTGGTATCACTGCTCTTCGAACTCATTTCAGACAGTGGCTACTCCCACATGCTTATCCAGGCTCTCTCCTACCCATGCATACTGGCTATTGAGGATAAGAAGAAGAAGTATCGGCTTTGCTGTTGAGTTTGCTCAAGTGTGTGGCAGTTGTGGAAGATACTGAGTGTTTGATGAGTCTTCGAGCATATGCGCGTGTCAAGTGGCTTGAAGTTGTGGTTTCTACGGTTTTTAGGGGATGTGGGCACGAAAGTGGAACATACTGTCAAAGCCTCTTGTCATTACTAGAGGAGCAAGGTCTGCCGTCTATGGGGGTACAGGGTCGGATAGGTCCAAACATGGTTACGTTGCAAATCAACTCAACAGTAGACATAACTTTGCACATCTGCCTTTGTCTTGTGTGTGTCAGATATTGGTGAAATGGCGGAGATATCGGACGACGTATTTGCCAGGAAACCCCCGGTCAAAGGTGATTGACCTGCGCTGACGGCGGCTTCAGCCGGGAAACGCCGCGCCAGTGGTGACTACCTGCCATGTCAATATGTTGAGAAGACCCGAGATTTGTCGCGCGGCGCGCTCCTCCTCCCTTCATCTCAGCACGAAACCTTTGCAGACTCGCAGAACGACCCTGAGGTTGACAACTTTCGGCGCTTCCAGCCAGCCACGTCGCACAGTTTGGAAGCAAACCGCCGCTAAGATGTCCGCCAGACCCCCCAACCCCTACATGATCTTCCCCAGCGTCTTCCGCCGCGCCACCGAGCAGCCCGAAGTCCGCTACCACAGAGGCACCACCCAGGAGTTCCATGGCCTCGTCCTCCTCGGCGTCGCCGTCGACATCCTGCACCACTACCCCCGCGACTCCAACGTCAACGCCTTGCGCGGCGAAATCATCAACATTGGCCGCGACATGGGCACGTCTCGCATCGGCGACACCAACATGACGATGTGGTACGTCGTGCGCGACATGGCGGAGCTCTGGGTCCACGACGCCTCCGAAGAGTTCACTGAGCTGTACCTCGAGACCCTGCTCTTCAACACGATCGTCCGCGCCTACGACCGCTTTCTCAGGTCTCCGATATACACCACTGGACACATGACGGCTCACAGGGTCAATGCTCTCGGCTACTTTCGCTGGGGCTGCAGGTGGAACGAGGGCGTCGATTACCTTCACGACTTGCAAGACCAGGGCCTCCAGTGAGCGCTCTCACACTCGACTCCCGGCTGTCTCAATGGCATCACATCACACTGTCAGCTTGTTTCATCACTTCGGCACCTGGTGCAACATGGCGACCGTCTTCTACCATTGGCAGGGCAGGTGTCGGATGTCTGCACATACGGCTGTCTCGAGATCATTGGGCTTGGTTACAACTTGGAATGCATGTTTGACACTGTCGAATTGTATGGTTGATGAGGTCTTGGAGGGGCTTTTAGAGGAGCTTTGAGGACATTTTGACACCCTCTGTTCCTTTTCGAGTTTTCAGGAGCCGTATGGCCTGGTTGGACTTTGAGGTCGCGGCAACGGGATGTCTGCAGGTGTTTTGAGATGTTCATCATGTTTCTTCTCCCAGAAGTCTACGATAGCTCGAATACAGCGGTGCATACATTCCCCCTTGCTGCATGTTTGTTCAGTAAATAACGATCACTGACGTGAACCTGCGCACTCGGGACTCTGATCAAGTGTCCTGCTTCTTTCCAAGCCATAAAGCACCCATTTGAATACAGATTCAGTGTCCCCTTGGGGCCTGCTGCCAACCCACTTCGTGCCAAGTCTTTCCCGGAAAGGGATCCACCACCCAGACCTCGCCAACTCCTCACACACAGCTATAAAACCTTCCACCCTCACCACCCCAGACCTGAAACTCTCCAACAGTGCTTTGCAGATACGTAACAGTGACCTCTGAAGCCCCTTGAAGCGCGATAGAGGGGGATAAAGAGGAAGACGAACAAGCATCCTGTATACGATTCTACGCCCTTATACAACATAGCAGCTGTCATGGCCGCAACGCTGCTGAGCCATTCCGCCGATCACGTGTTCTCGCTTCACCGGGCACAGGCCCGGCTCGCGACTCAACACCACGCCGCAACACGTAGATACTCGCACTTCGTGCAACCTCTTGTAGCCAATTGAGACTACTTGCTCGCGTGCCTTTCCCGCATGCCTCAGTGCTCTTACAGCAGCACGACTCTACATCTCAGGAAACAGAAGACGACACCATTCCGTACCGGTCCAGCCCAATCGATCCATGAAGCCTTGTTAAGAGCCTCTAGTACTCCATACAGCTTCAGCAACAAAGCTACAGTGTGCTTCCCTAGCAGTACTCGAATATTTAGTCTCGAACTTACCGGACGCGCACAAGGTATCTCGCGCAAAGGGCTATCCGCATCCTCCCGTCCCGTATTCTCGCTAAAGTATAGTTCTAGCACAGCGTCTACCAAATAATCCCCCGCAAGATATCTTTCTTCACGTTCGCATACATGTATACTTAGTTAGATATAAATAAAAATCTACTATCACCTTATACAATTTATAGATCGCTCGAAACTTACGTCGCTCCCGCCTCCGAGACATCCCCGGCCTTAGGCAAGCGAGTCTTAGCGGCCTCCCGCGTAAAAGAAAAGAAAAAGAATAATCAGTAATTAAGCCTAACGCGGGGGAGAATTAAGTATTACCTTAGACCGTTTATAGATCGCTTATAAAAATATAAAAATATGTTCGCCTCGTTTCCGCCTCCCGCGCAAAAAGAAAAAAAAAAGCAAAAGAATATTTGGGAATTGAGCCCAACGCGGGGGTCGAACCCGCAGCCTTGAGATATCGCCTCCTAGGAGGTGGTAAGAGTCTCACGCTCTACCGATTGAGCTAGCCGGGCAGCTTGTAGCTGTTGATAAAAGAGGATTTGGCTGCTGTGTTTATGTAGTAAGCAGCTTGGGCGGCGGTTGGAAACCTTGATTTCCTATGGACTCCGGTATGTGGACCCCCCACCTGAACTTCGCACCAAATCAACCGTTCGCAGAAAGCTTCAAATTTTCTAGTAAGTGGTTAGGTTTTGGCTTTGACTATTTACCTCTACTGCTATCTGTTTTTCCAAGGGATTATGCGCGACTTTCGCGTGGCCGAGTTGGGGTGCGGAAATGTCGACTTGGTTTTGGATGTGTCCACACAAGGAGTCCGTATGCCTGGAACAAAGGACAAGGCAAACGACCAGACATGCAGCGCATTCACAAACAGACAGCTGCAGTAGGTGTTCTTTATAGCCAGCTCTACCTTGCCTATTTGTACAGCCCTCTCCCTCCTCCTCCTCCTCCTCCTCCTCCTCCTCCTCCTCACGCACAAAACCCGCACAGCCCGCGCAGCCCGCCCCTCCAGAGCCCGTTCCATGCTTTGCGTCGGTGTCGGGCGCCCAGCCATTTCGCTTCAGCAGCACAACCACCACCGCTGCGCCGCCGCCCAGCCCAAATCCCGCACACTTTCGCTTTTTTTTCTCCCACTGCGGAAATTTCTTATCTTGTCGACCTCTACAGCAACAGCAGGGTCTGTTTGTGTGGCGTCGTGCGCTGCTGCTCCGGCGCATTGGAGCGCGATCTACGGCTCTAGCCTCTGCGGTCGCGATTCCGTGGCGGGGCGCTGAGCGCTGAGATGGAGATGGAGGATAGAGGGCAAGCCAGCGCGCCGCGCCCGCCTCGTCGCTCGGGGCTGGCCAGGCATCGCATCGCAATGTATCGCAATGCACTGCAGCGCGCACGCCGCGACGCAACGCAACAACCGCTGCGTCTCGTGCTGGTCGGGCGCAGTGCTGGTCGTCGACCCACGCACAACCCCTCCCAATCCTCTCTATTGTATCTCACAATATAATCCCCACCCATTAAAAGCTTACATAACCCGCCCGCTTGGCTTAGTGGTACAGCGTCTCACTCGTATGCAGTATGAAATGAGAAGATCCTCGGTTCGATTCCGAGAGTGGGCAGTCTTTTTGAAAAGATAATGGGCATTCAATTCATTCTTTTTGAAAAATTTTCAGCGGCACGAGATGTCTGCTCTGGCGGATTGGGTGGGTGCCTGTGTTGGTTGCTGGTTTTTTGTGCTGCTGCTGCTGCTGCTGCTGCTGCGAGGGGCGAGTTTGGGGGTGGTTGTTTCGCGCTGTGGCGGGTGGGCAGTGGGCAGTGCAGCGGTCGCGTCACCCACACGCGCACACGCTTTCCATCAGCCATCGCCCATCATCATCATCCACCGTCACCCCAAGTCCAGAGCAGCATGCCCGCCCGCCACGCGTTCCCGCGCAAGGCCGTGCAAACAAGCTTTGCGGCTTGCGCCAGCGGCCGCTAGGAGTAGGCAACGCTGTGGCTGTGGCTTTAGGGGCCGGTCCTAGGCGGGCTGCGGCGTCGTCGTCGTCGGCGGCGATTGCGGGCGGGCGCGTAGGCAGGCAGCGCTGCTGCTCCGCAGCCGCTACGACGTACGTATGCGTGGATGGACTTAACACGCAAGCCGCAAGCCAGGCTGGTCGCCGCTGCTTTGCGGCTTGCGCCAGCGTGGCAGCTTGCAGCGGCTCTGTGGTGATGCAGCGGATGGGTGGGTTGGTCATGTGGATTTGATTTAATTTAGGTTTCGGAGGAAGAGGAAGAGGAAGAGGATAAGGATGAACTAGTTATAATCACCATTAGGGGCGAGAGATGGGGAGAGAAGAACAGGGTGGGAAGACGTAGACGGTAGGTGTGCTGCTGTGCTATCTTGTCTTCTTCTTTTTCCTCTTCTTTCCCTTTTTCCCCCCTTTCTTTTTCCTCTATTCCCTCTTTTTCCCCACGTCCTTTAAGCCACAAGCTTCCTTTACAATGCGCATGCCGAGCAGGTAAATTAAAATTTTAACATCTTCTCAATTATTCAAGGAGCAAAGATCCGAAACGCCGCCTTTAGGCTCCGACCAAGCCGTCTATATCTATGTCGAAGTATGTGAGCATATGAGTAAGCTCGCTCTATCCCTTTCCTTCTTTCCTCCTTCCCCTCTCCCTATTACCTCCCTCCCTCTCCCCCACCATCAACACGCCCCCTTAGAAACCCCACTGCCCGCACCACGTCTCAAACAGCTTCCCATCCACCTCCTTCAAGCCCTTCAAACACGCACTCGCCTCGCACGTCCGCCCCGTCTGCATCGCCGGCAACGCGCCGCCCTCGAGCTGCAAGCCGGCATAGAAATCCACCAGCTTGACGCCCGGCTTGCGCTCGACCTCGTCCTTCGTCAGCGGCGTGGCCCGCAGCGCCTGCAGCCAGGTTTCGAACGGCACGGCTTGTATGCTGATGTTTTGTTGGGCGTAGAAGGCCTGTAGGACTGGCACCAGCGTCTGCCAGGGCACCGGGTGCGGGTTCTGCACGTGGAAGACGTCGAGCAGGCTCTCTCCCTCAGCCGCCGTAGGGCCAAACAGCTGTGCGTGCCTCGCCAGCCGCGCGAACGCGATCTCCGTAACCGTCCGCCCCGCCTCGTCAATCGGCACCCAGTCGACCGCGTCCTGGTTCCCCAGATTCATCGGCACCATGCCCATGTTCTTGGCCGAGTGCACCAGGCTCGGCAGCCACTCGTGGCGGTTCCAGACGCCCTTCCCCCGCGGGCCGCCCAGCTGCCCGCAGCGCACGATATTGGCCGGCACGCCGGCAGCCGCCGCAGCGGCCAAAATGCGCCCCGCCACGTGCTTGCTCTCGCCGTACCCCTGGGGCAGGGGCGTGCGGTCGTCGGGGAAGAAGCGCTCGGGCACGGCCGGGGGGTCCGAGGGGCTCCGCAGGGAGGGGTAGTTCCCGACCGAGGCGACGGAGGAGACGAAGAAGATGTGCGCCCGGTGCGCCGACTGCAGAGAGAAGTCCACTACGCGCCGCGTCCCGGCGATGTGTGTCGGCTCGTACGACTCGAGCGTGTGGTTGAAGTCGACGGCCCACGCGTTGTGGATGAAGGCCGTGGCTTCCTTTACCAGCGTGTCGTACGTCTCCTGCGGCAGCCCGAACAGCGGCAGGCTGAAGTCGGTGCGCAGGAACGTCACTTTGCTGAAGTCTGCGGTTTCGCCGCGCTCGGCGAACGACTTGGCTTGCCGCGCCTCGGCCCCGTCGGACCGGTTCAGGCAGTACACTTTCGCGACGGCGGCGCTGTTGATCAGGTCGCGCAGGATGAAGTTGCCCAGCGCGCCCGTCGAGCCCGTCAGCACGAACGTGTGCGAGGACGGCATTGGCGCCGCGGGCGCCTGGCCCATGGTCGCCGGCAGCGTCTCCGTGTACTTGTGCACCATCTCGGCCATCTTCTGCTCGCGGGGGACTTCGGGCACTGCGGCACCGGCGTCCGTCTCGTGCAGTTTCGCCAGCAGCGCCTTAGCGAGTTTGTCCACGGTCGGGGCGGCGTAGACGTCGCGCGGCACGAGCGCCGCGTCGCGGCTGCCGGCGCCGCGATCGGATTTTATAGCCGAGCTGAGCGCGCTCGCCAGCGCCATCACCTGCAACGAGTCGGCGCCTAGGTCAAAGATGTCAGCGGCGTCGAGCGCGTCCGCTGCTTTGCCCTCGCTGTGCGCGGCGTAGCTGGGCAGGATCAGCTTGAACGCGTTGCGCAGGAACGCCTTCATGGCGTCGAGGTCAAAGTCCTTGCTGAAGGCGCCCAGCTGCTCGCTGAAGCCCTGGCCCTCGTTCAGGTACAGGGCGTCGATCTCGGCGGCGTACAGGGCGACGGTGGCGCGGCGCTGGATGGAGCCCTTGGCGGCGCGGTTGAAGGGCTTCTCGGGCTTGGTGAAGGCGATTTTGTTCTTCCACACCTGGGCGTGGGCGGGGGCGTCGCGGTTGGCCTTTTCGACGGCGGGCCACACGTCGTCGAGCAGCTGGTGCAGGTCGGCCGTGGTGGCGGCCTTGGTCCACTCGGGCTCGACGAGCATGGCGGGCTGGAAGCGGCTCTGGCCCACGACCAGCGCGCCCTTGACCAGCGCGTGCTCCTCGACCGTCTTTTCAAAGGTGACGGGGTTGAACTTCTCGCCGTTGCTGAGCACGAGGACGTCGTCCCTGCGGCCGCGGTAGCGCCAGAGGCCCGGCTTGGTGGGGTGCGGCTCGAAGAGGTCCTTGGTGCGCCACTCGTGGGTGCCGGGGAAGGTGTAGAAAACGCCGAGGTAGGTGGGGTTGACGTAGGGCTTGATGACGCACTCACACAGGCCCTCGCCCTCGCCCGCGTCTTCCATGACCACGCCCGAGTACGGCGACCACTCGAAGTACTGCCAGTCGGCGCGGTCCGTGTTGATCAGGCTGGAGATGAAGCACGCCTCGGTCGAGCCAATCATCGACGTCACGCGCGTCACGGCGTTGACCTTCTCGCCCGCCTCCTTGGCCAGCGGCGCGCCCGCAAAGAAGGCGTACTCGACCTGCGCCAGCGCATCCAGGCCCTTTTGCGTCTCGCTCATGTCCTCGAGGATCGACGGCGCAAACAGGCCGGACCACGGCTTCTTCGCCAGCAGAATATCCGCCGCCATGTCGGCCGTCGGCAGCTTGCCCGGCCGCGGCAGGATCAGCGGCCCCGAGAAGATGGACTTGAGGATGGTGATGATGCCCATGGTGTGGAAGAAGGGCAGCATGGTGAACAGCGGCTTGTCGTCGGCCATGTACGTCGCGAGCGTGTTTTGGCGGCCGCGCGGCGCGTCCTGGTACTTTTGGTGGTCGAGCGTGGCCAGCCAGCCGTTGGTGATGTAGATGGGCTTGGGCAAGCCCGTGCTGCCCGACGTGTGCAGCACCAGCACCTGCTCCGCCTCCGAGTACTTGGCCGTCGCGCGTGTGTGGTATGCCCCGCGCGCGCCCTCGGCCATCATCTCCTCAAACGTCGGGATCTGGTACCCGCGCATGTTCGCCGCCGCCCGGAACGGCTGCAGGTGCTTCTCGACGCCTTCGGTGTAGAAGAAGGCGTGGCAGTCGGTGCGCTCGAGCAGGTTGATCTGTCCTTCGTCCGAGTTGCGCAGCGAGGGGAGCAGTGCCTGGACCAGTCTGTCAATACCTCGCACAATCCAAACAAATCCCTGCTCTCCAACCCGTTACTCACCTTGCGGCTGGCCTTCATCAACGCCAGGATAACAACCGAGTAGCGCACATCGTTGATACTGGAAGACAAATCAGTACACAAACACCAAACAAACAAAACAAAACACAACTCACCCAAGATACGCGACCGTCTCCTTCCGCTCACTCCCAATCCCAATCGTCGTCTCGATCCACCGCGCCATGCCATCGACCGCCTGTCTCAGCTCGCCAAAGTGAATGTCCTCCCACTCGCCGTTGACATCGTCGGTCCTGGGCAGCGAGACCCACGTGCGCAGCGGGTCGGCCGCTGCGATGCCGTCGACGCGGTCTGTGATGCTCTGGGTCGCGAAGGGCGAGAAGCCTGTTGCGGTGGCGGCGGCTATGGATCCCATGGTGTGTTTGTTGTTGTGTGTGTGGGAGGAGGAGGGGGTTTGAGAAGTGGATGCAATGAGATGGAGGTTTGTGTGTGTTATAGCGAGAGCAAGAAAAGAACAAGTGTAGCCGTGGTGCGAGGAACGAGTGTGATATAGTGAGGAGTGGTGGCGGGAGATGCGCTTGCTTGCTTGCTTGCTTGCTTGCTTGCTAGCTGGCGGCGAGGTCCCAGGTTTTTAAATGCAGCAGCCACTGCATCCCTTCATGGCGATAGACGGGCGCGAATCCGCGATCGGGGCCAGCAGGGGCAGCCAAAACCCACGTCCATGGTACGTAGGACGCAGTGCAGTGCAGAAATGCGCGCACTCACTCAATGCAACCGCAGTGCGGTGCGATATTTTCCACACCCACCCGCAATCAAGCACAGCGTGTGCATCAAGGCCAACCGAACCCAATACAACACCAGTGGAGTATACGAGCGAGCGTCACGGCCCGTCCCAACCCGGCATCTACGTCCCTGCCGTACGTCCCTAGCAAATTCGCTATCTCTCTCCCTCTCGCTCGGAAACCGTTCGGAGCCAAAAATAGGGGCGGCACACGTCCCATCGAGACCCTGATCATGATCGGATCTGCAGCGACAGCACGGGCAGCACCGTCGCAGTGCAGGGCAATCCGCATATACATGCGTGCGAGCGTATGCGAGCAAGAGGCAGCGAGTGGCAGCAGCACGCAATCAAGCACTCCCAAGCTTCGTTGGCGACGCCCTAGCTGCCCAATCCTTGCGGCGATCGTGCCCGATGACGACGCTAGGCGCGGCGCGTGCAAGGGCCGGCCCGCCCGTCGTTCGGACGGAGATCCTTCGCTCCTAGCTAGGTCAGGGAGGACGCCGAAAATGACGCACGCAGTGCGAATCTGCCGCAGCCGCACGGGCGGCGGGTGTGGATGGTGAGGGCTCAGGGGCGCTGTTCGTGGCTAGGTAGGTGGATATACGCATCGGAGAAAATCGGGGCAAGGCTGTTCGGAGATCTTTCGCGGGCAGGTCGGATGGTTATATCGCACTGCCTCCCCTGCCTTTCTAGAAGCCTGCATGCATGCGTACATATAAGCAAGACGCATGTCCCGCGGGTCGAGTGCTGCTGCTAAGGTTACCAGCACGCAGGCCTCACGCGCTTCGTGCAGAAGAAAGGACAGGACAGAACCTTCGATTTCGAACCACAGCTGTTTCCCCCACCCATCACCAGTCTTGTCACCTTGTGGGACATTCAGCGGGTCGCCTTGGAGGAGTGAGCTGAGGGTGGTGAGCGTTCAGGAGATGTGCGCCGATGCGCTGCAGGGATGCTGATACGTAGCCGCGTCTGCGTCTGCCAGGCTGCGTCTCACGTGTTGTTACCCGAGCGAGCGTTTGTCCTTCACGAGACGCCCACGCCATCCGTCGTGCAGCGCCAGCCCTACGGCTTCGGGACAAGAAATGCTGCCCTACCCGCGCCGATGCCGCTATCGGAGAGCAACGACGTCGACATCCTTGCCTGCACGCCACCGGGTGGCGAGTCGCGAGTGGCGACCTGCAGGGGACCGTTCCATGCATGCAATCGAGATTCGGGCGGCGCGGGCGCGGTCGCATTCACTTGTCAGCAAACGAGCGCTTTCTCGACGTGATTACGAAAGATCTTGTTGAAGGAGCCGGTTCTGTCTTGTCGATTCTCTCGTGCGTTTGTGCATGTTGAATGGAAGAAGCAATGGAGTGGAATGATGTCGGGATTGTCTACTTGGCTTCGAGTTGTCCTGGCTCCCTTCGAAAGTCGTGGCCGTTGACGTCCCTCGGAAGCGTGGCCCAAATTCCAATCATCCACACACTCATTATCCTTTGGCTACTGCAACTGTGAACGAGGCATGCGACTCTCTTAGCAGCCAGTCTAAGCTTGAATGAAAGTCCTTCTTTCCATGCTGCTCAAGAAGTCTCTCCTACAAAGCTGGTCGACACCCCAGAACCCAAGAGGCAGATCGGAAACTTTGTTCATCCTTCGGCGATCGGCAACGCATCCCAGGCTCTTCCCGTTGTCACGCGCCAGTGTGTTTCCCCAGACTTGCATGCGGCGGTCCTTTGGATCTTAAGTGGAAGCTTCCAGCCGCACCGGTTGGCCCTGGCTACCTGGCTTTCGCGCGACGCGGTGTGGGGTTTTTGATGGTTGAGCGTGGATAGGAGTCAGCCAGTGACGACGGTTGTCATGGTTCGGAAGTGTGCGATGAAGTGTGCGACGGAGAGGGAGGTTGCGTGGACGGCCAGCTTGCAATCCGTGGACTGTAGGTAGTTCATTGTGGAGAACAAATCACTGCTTGTTTGAAAGAACCAACGTTGGCACATTCGTGATGGATCTGCGTTCCCTTGTTGTTCCCTCAACCTGCAGCCTTTGGGGGTTTGGAGTCGTCAATGCGGGTTACCAGCTGAACATACGGGCAGCTCGTCCAGGCAATTTCGCAGTCCTGTACCGGGCCTGTCTGCTGCTGTAGTCAGTGAATGGGTGGGTCTACACAGAGCTGTGCTAGGGATTGTACTTGGGGGTGACGTGGGATCCTGCGTCGCGCGGTCGTGCAGTGCATGACCAACCTCAACTCCAGACCAAGGTCCAACGCAGCATTCCAGTATACAATCCTCCCCAAAGCAAGGTGTGTGTCGCGTTCATGGGCTTCAAGTAACTAGCTGTTGGTTATGGAGGGCCGTGGTGGTGATGGGGACGCTTGCAGCTTGCGTGAGCCGGACCTGTCCAAGTTGACCCTGTCCGCGGGCAGTGACACTTCAATGTCGAGCAATGGACAGAACCCCTCTTACCAATGGCATCTCAATCCCCTTCTTCACCTGCCTCTGCACCGCCCTGTGTCCTGGCTGCTCATGGTAGCTGCCCTTGCCGTTGAGCCTCACCGCACCTCCCAAACGGCGGAGTGAGGGCCCTGGACCTTCCCGCTGAGCCTACAGGCACCCATTCTCTGCCAGCGCCCCTGCCCTCTTAGAGCTGCACCTCCCCAATCCGCCGTCCAGCTCGCGCCTCCCTCGCCCATCACGGCCTCATCTGTCACCTATAAAAGCCTCTCCCTCCTCCATTTCTTCCTTTCTCCACCACACTCCTTCTCACGATCCTTGACGAACTTCAACACCGAATCTCTCACCTCATTTGCTCTGTCACGCAAGCCTTGCAATTCATTGCTCCCCACCACTCCAATGCCTGTCAAGCCCCAAGATTGGGCCATGGTCATCATTGTCCTTGGAAGCGCCGTCACCTTCGTCGTCATGCTCACGATCTCGAGTCTTCTCAATGGCTACCGCCTCCCTCGCTTGATCTTTCTTCGTACTCGCCGCGTACGCGCCTCCGACTTAAAGCCCGAGTCGACCAACGGTTCTTCAACCACTGAAGACATCGAAATGCAGGCGCAGACTCCCACGCCTCGCAACAGCTCTCAAGATCCGGAAGCCGGTCAGTCCCATGACGATGATCTCGATGGCTCCAAATTCGACTACATCGAGGAGGACCGCCAGTACCAGTTCGTCAACGGCTGTCAGTTGTGTGAGGAGAACCACCACGCTGGTCATCACCTCCACATCCATCGCGCCCAGGAGCTCCAGGAGACGCAGACCAGTCAGCGTCGCAATGCTTCGGAGCAGCCTCGCGTCGCTCCCAACACCCAGGCCACTGAGCATGGCGGCAACCAAGACACTGAGCGCGGTGACACTGAACACACGTCTGCTGCTGTCACTTACTCTCGCATTCCCTCTCCCTTGTACCAGCGCGGTGACTTCGAGCGCACTCCTGGCCGCTTCGACATTGACTAGCTCGTCATGCAACCTATCCGCAGGTTCGTTGCTTCTCCTGTTCAACTTGTGTTTCTTGCTGCTAACATGGTCCCAGGGTCCTCCTGAGCACGCGACTCTGCATCCACGACCGCAACAGCATTCCACGTACGCAGACATTTCACGCACAGCATCCCTACGACTATGGCGAACGCACCTCACATTTTTTCAGCACGATTTCCAGAGCATCACTTCTTTTTCGTTGTTTCTTCCCAGCTGGACGGTTCCGTTTTTCTCTGTGGTGAAGCGCAGGCTTTCTCTGGAGGCGTTTCTTCGATGTTTTCAGGCCAAAGAGGTGTGTGGTGGCCATGGTGTATTCAAGGTTTTTCAGGTCGCATTTCAGCAAGTCGTATGAGTATGGTCAGGGCTTTTCACTTTCGATGGGATATCATGGCATCATTTGTTAGAGCTATCGGGCATTGTCAAGTCTTCGAGTAGATACATTATCACCGCTTCGGACAGAATTTAATCGAATCACATCTCAAAAAAATGTTCTCTTGGTGCCTATGACAGCTCACAACCAAATTCGAACTCTCAACCAATCAGGAAACTAATCTCCAAAAAAAAGTAATTATCTTTGATTAAGCGTGGCTTTGTAGTCCTTAGTGCTGTGCCTTATTACACCAATCCTCTCTGTGTCGTTATAAGTTTGACCAAATGCCCAAAGGCAAAAGCAATTCCCGCTGTTTCAAACTATAAACCCTTTTAAGCGCGCGTCAGGGTATGACGTGTGGTGGCACTGACAGAGTGCCCCGAACTCGCCCTCTGACGCCAATGAATACTGCCTCCTCACCAGAGCCGCAGCCACAAAAGCCGGGCAGGAAGTGCCCTGCAAGCGGCAACATGTCCGCAAGGGAGCTGCATGCCGCCCATCATGCTACCTACCTGGAAGCTACCTAGAGTGGGAGGTACCTCCTCGCCGCGCGCCACGCGCGCCTTCTTCTCTAAACCGTGACCGCTCCCGCTAATGGCACCAGCGCCAGCAAGCAAGCATCTCCTGCACCACTTCAACGCCTCTCAGTCTCGGTCGTCTTTTGTTTCCGTCATGCCGGCATCACTGCATCAAGGCCCTAAGGGCAGTTTGATGGACTTCCGCGCTATACTGCACGACTACTACGAGGACACGGCAGTGACGACACCTATCTACCACCTCCAGCGTAGATGGAAGACACGCAAGCAAGGATGCAAGCCGCGAGCACAGGAGCACGGAAGCACCTGCAGCGCCGCCATGTCGCTCCACCTCTGACACCTTATGCACTACGCCAGGGTCAACATACGATACGAACGGATACAGAGCACCTCGAGACCAAGGCATGTAGACAGCAGGTCGGAGACGACTCGAACGAGAAGTGCGTCAGTACTGCGTTGGTGGAGCGCTGGCTGACATGTTGATTGCTGTGGCAATGCAGGTATCTCCCGTCTTGGGCTTCTTCGGCACCTCGACCCAGTCTGGCTTCGGCATTTCCTTGGCTGGCACGGCTGCGCATCTCACCATCTCTTATAGCGGCTTGTTACTGGATCTTTGTCTTTAAGACAAGGGGGCGGTCGTTTGGGCCTTGGATACACGGCACAGGCTGCACAACACTTGGCCTCGTCACTGGTGCATGGCTTCGTGCAGAAGCTGCGTTCTTGCTTGAGAGGTTGGGACAGACGCGGTAAGTGGGCGTTGGTCTTGCGCATTGCGCTTGAGGATAGAGGTAGGATGCTGACATTCTCAGGATCTCCGCCGGTCGGAAACGGATGCTCTCTGCAGCTGCGGATGCTTCGGCCTTGCTAAGGCGTGCAGTACCGGCTTCAGTGGCTTGGGAATGCACCTCCTTCTGGTACCGGACCCTATGAACCGACTTAGTTGCTTGCATATCGACGGTCAGGCTCCCTCAAGTGCGCTGTTGAGCTTCGGTGTCCTGCATCTGGCGCATCATTGCATGGCACACTGGATTCTTCCCCTCAAGCAAGCTACCCGAAGCTCCAGACAACTTTCCTACTCCGAGCATGTTGAAGGTTCGACTTGTTAGTCTTGCTTACTTCTTCCCATCGCGATCCGTTCATCTTTCCATGGCTAACACGGCTCCACCAACGGTTCGAAGACGGTCTATCATGAGCCCCATGGCGCTCACCGACCCAGCTGTTAGTCCCTCCTTCGGATACCTACGACTTTGTTCTTCTTGTCACGCCAGGCCTCTCAGCATATCACCTCCAAAGACGCGACAGCCGCCTATGACTATGCCTCCCCGCAACTCAAGGTGACGGCTCCAGCACCACCACCGAGCGCAACTACGGCAAGCAACACACTCGTCTCAAGCCTATCGCAATCGATACAATATATCAAGAGCACCTCTCGCCAAACCTCTCCAGTTGACGTCCAGGCCCCCGCACCCCACCGAAGTCACACCGCAGCGCCCCACAAAGCGCAAAATCAGCCCCACAATCTCGCCGGCACAACGCACACAGGTCTTAAAGCCAAAAATCCAGCGCCGCTCCCATCAAAGCGCACCAGCGGCTCGCTTGGTCTAGTTGGTTATGGCGCCGGTCTCATATTCTCAAATATGACTGCTTCACAGAAGCGGGTGATCCGGAGGTCGGCAGTGTAAGAAAACCGCTCGCTCGAATTAATGAAGAATTAAACTAACGTTGAAACAGTCGATCCTGCCAGCGAGCATTCAATTTCCTTTTTGCTTTTGGCGACGGTGTGGTGCGTTTTTGTTTTGTGTGAAGCTGGGCGCGAGGAATTGGACGCCGCTTGTCCTTCTAAATTACTACTACCTATGGAGGTATATAAGATACTATCTAGAAGGACACGTTTTCTCTTTGAGATCATTGCTTCCTTGCAGTGGATAAATGAGTAGTGCAGGGGGTAAGGCTGTTGTGTAACCACTAGATAATGAGGCTGAAAAAACGAGAGTTATCGGAGTGATCCTGGCTGACATTTTGCTTTTCGAACTGCACCGCTGTCCGGCACGCAGCTTCCACTTTCTTTTGTACATCCTCCCTAGCACGTTCAGATATTTTCTTTATACGTTTTCCATAGATACATCGCCTGCAGCTCCTTTGATCCTTAAACTAACCAAAACCCCCACTTCAGCCAACTGTACAGGACGCTCGCTAACCGCGACACGACCAGCACCGGAGGACGCAAAACCCAACAATCAAAGCATGGAACCTTTATGCGAAGGAGCATCTCCGCGTTCCAGCCACAGCGCTCGCCGCGGTCCACAAGGATGGCCAGGTGAACGACAAGTACAAACGCAAATAGCACTACTCGATTCTCACTCTGCTCGATCTCTGCCGGCCAGCCAAGCTCCTGGATACGACAATCGAGTTGTTTAGTAAGGTTAACGAGGCTGATTATATCCGGGCTCATATCGAGCCCGACGGGCGGTGGCCCAAGGAGAAATGGTAGGTGGTAAGAGCCCACTCCCTTGCAACCACGACAGTAGCCACTATCTTTCCTTCGAGTTGTGTTACAGCAGCACAACACGCCTATACCGACAAACCTCAGGCCCTCTTCATGTATATCTCTACAGCACCGCGCCTTTCGATTCCTCCCTCCCCCTCTTCCTAAGCACAATGCATCGCAACATCCTGCCTCTACTGATCTGTCACTGTCGTAATGCTGGGGCCCACACTGCTCTACGCTTGCGCAACATGGCTGACCGCTCACGCAGGGCATGGGGAGGAGGAACCGGTGAAGAGGGGAATTTTTTCAGATCAGCGTACGCGAGGCAATCACTCTACTGGACATGCTCTAATACTAATCGCTTCTGTCTCTGGTGTTTCGATGGTTTGGGAGAGGAGAGGGAAGAGAGGAGAGACGTTGAGATGAAATTATGAAATATAGTAATGGATGAGGTTTTTGTGCTTTTTTTGTGCTTGTGTGATGGGTTTGTTCAAAGTTCAGGCGGTCAGTGGCGGCTGTTTTTCGCCATTTTGCATTGCACAACGGCTTTTAGCGGCTATTAAAACAGCCCTTTATCCTTCCAGCGCAGTACAAAGCCGCAATACCCTCATCTATAAACAATGCGCCCTTTGTCCCCTAAGCACAGAACGAAGTCCTCGACAACCAGACAAAGCCACACGCTCTCCCTTTCAATTTGTACTCTTTGCTCGCAGTAAGCCCCGCTCCCTTCATCTCCACGGGCGCCTCTTCTGCCGCCCTCCGCTCTTCCATCTAGTATCTCCTGCACCGCAATAGCCGGTTCCGTATTATCCTTAATCTTGTTGAACACGGCTTCTCCTCTGGCAATTAGCAGTACACTCGCTTGCGTCCGTGGAATACCGCCGCCTCCTCTGTTCATAGGCGCGCGTGGGCAACCGTCTTCGCGTCTCCGGGTGTAGGTTGGTGCGTCTAGTCTGTGGCTTGAGGGATGTTGGTACGCGTTTTCGTGTGCGTGTGCCCCGTGCGTGCGTGTGTGTTTGTCTGTGGAGATTGGGTCGAGTAAGCGATATGATAATGAAGCTGCCGAGAAGGAAGAAAGCGGACTGGCAAAACCCAGGCAGAAATGCGAAACAGCTACCGCTTCCTCGCCCTGCTGCCCGTCCATGCTGTTGCGGCCTTGCCAGCGTGTGTGCCGCACCAGAAGGCGTCTCGAAGCAGTTCTGCCGCGGGACGGATGCTGCGCGTGTCTCGACATCGATCAGCGGTGGCTGCCACCGAGTGCCGGCTGTGGAAGCGCGGTGCGCGCGAGCTTGACTTGCAGCTCTGGGGCCGCACCCGCGCGACCTAGGAAAGTACGAGTTCCTAGACGACAGTGATTTCGTCAACGGAAATGAGCTGTTTGCGCAGGAGTTTGGGACATGATCGCGTCCCTCCTGAAGCGCTTCGGACATGGCGGAGCTGAAATAGGGTGGTTTTGTCTGTGTACGATGTTTTAGATCAATCATTAGGTTGTTGCGCTTAGGCAATGCGACCATCTATCCAGGGAGGCCTATCAAGGGAAATGGGAGACGAAAACCAACCGACGTACGACTACCTGGCTCGCAGCCAGG